TCCTGCGTGGGGTCCCCGCACCCGCCGCTCCATCGTCCCGTGTGGGTCTCCCGCACCTGCCACTCCGTCGTCCTGCATGGGGCCCTTGCGCCTGCACTAAATTCCTGTGTCTGAAGCCATTTATCTGAATCCTAATGCACAAGTTCTGTACTATTTTATTTTATTTTTTAATTTGTTTTAACATTTATTTTTGAGAGACAAAGCATGAGCAGGGGAGGGGCAGAGAAAGAAGGAGACACAGAATATGAAGCGCCTCCAGGCTCTGAGCCCGACACGGAGCTCGAACTCACAGACTGTGAGATCATGACCTGAGCTGAAGTCGGACGCTCAACCAACTGAGCCCCCCAGGCGCCCCTGTGCTATTTTAATCAGTGTGGCTTTATGCCCATTTTCATCCCTGACAGCTAGATTCCCCTCCTGTCCAGACTTTTTTCTGCCTATGCTTCACGTTTAATTTTTCCTTACAGACTTTAGATCAGCTAAGTTCCAAATTTTAAAAAATCCTCCTCCTACGTTTATTGGGATTGTGTTAAAATTACAGACTGACTGGGGTGCCTGGGTGGCTCAGTCAGTTAAGCATCTGACTCTTGATTTCGGCTCAGGTCGTGGTCTCATGGTTTGTGAATCTGAGCCCTGTGTCGTGCTCCACACTGACAGCACAGAGCCTGCTTGGGATTCTGTGTCTCCCCCTCTCTCTGCCCCTCCTCTGCTCAGGCTCTGTCTCTCAAAATAAGTAAATAAAACTTAAAATTTTTTGTAAATAAATTTATGGCCTAACTTAAGAGGAAGTGGCATTTTTACGATGATGACTCTTTCTAGCCAGGAATATGGGCCATGTACTAAGTGGGGTACATGATTAGCGGAGCCTCTCCGGGTGAGTGGGCACCCTTGGAGACCGTTCACGAGAGTGAACTGCTGACGAGGGACCAAGCGTGCAGTCAGCTGCATCTTGAACACGGTTGGACACACGGTGTGGGCTGGAAGCCTCCATGATCCTGGGAGGAAGTGTGAGCAGATCCGTGGCAGGAGGGGCCCCAATTTAGGAGGTGGGCCGAGTGTCAGGACTCCAGCCCTGGGAATGAGTGGGTCATGCACACACGGATGTCACCCCGGAGGGGTAGGGCCCGGCAGCAGTCAAGGGACACAGCCCGACCCAGCTCACGAAGAAGGAGCCGGGAAGAAAGCCCCTCACCGCACCACCTCCCTTCCTGTGCCAAATGCGGTGCTCGGAGCCCTCGGTTCCGTCCACAGAGGCCGGCTTGGGGACAGAGTAGGACGAAAGTGCGGACCAGATGTGGAGAGGCAGCCAGAGGCAGCGGGCGCTCACGTCCAGCTCCCCCCAGGGAGGCATGCAGGCCCCCAGCACCATCGTCTCTGCCCTGAGGTCAGCGGAGAAAGAAGACAAGGTCAAGAGGTGACGAGTATAGACAGACTCTGCACCTGCCAGGAGCCGTGTAACGCGCCGCTCAGTGACAGTCCCCTGTGTGGGCTGGGCGGCCACCCGCCCTCACTCTGACAGAGTTCCTTGCGTGGCTGGAGAGCACGAGGAAAGAACTACCCACTGAGCCCTGCGTCTTACAGGGAATTAACTCACCCACAGAACCGCACGCCCGCATCCTCCCTTCCAAGCCCGTCTGTGCAGGAGTGTGGCCGCTTTGCTGGGGAGCCCTCAGCACTGGAAGATGCCCTCGGGGGCTTTGCTGGGGTCCAGCCAGTCGGAGCCGCGGGCCGGTGCGTTACCAACACCCTGTGACGCCCTCTCCAGCCTGGTCTCACTCCCACGCCGGCTCCACTGGCAGGGGAGGGGGGCCCAGGGACTTCACCACATCGTCGCTGCGGGAGCAAGGCCCGTAGGACCTCCCCGGGAGAAGGCAGGGGAGCTCACGGGGAGGACGGGGCGGCCGAGGCCAGAGGCCGCAGAACAGCTTTCCCACGGGAGGAGGCCCCGCGGGACTGAGGCCGTCCAGAGTGCAGGCAGGATGCTGGGGGGGAGCACCGTGCTGCCAGGGCCCACAACCATCAAGTTCTCTCTCAAGGACAAATGTCCCCACGACCGTGTCCTGTGAATTCGGTGCCTTAGAAACTGGTACCTGTTTGCAAGGAGGCCGTGTTAGCCCCACTGCAAAAGCCTCGCTCAGACCCTCAGACCGACCCCACAGCTGCTCGTGACAGGACTTTCGCCGAGGCTCAGCTCCTGAGTCCTCACCCCTGCGGCTGTGACGGGGCCGGGAACTCGAACTGTCCCACGGGGGACAGAAAAGGAGAGGCCACCGCACCAACCTGCGTCGGCACCAGGCCCGGTGCGTGTGGTGGGTCCACACGGATGAAGGGGTACGTGGTTCTGCTCCTGATGTGGAGCAGGCTCGCGGAGCAGGGGTTTCATAAAGAAGGAAATGTTGAGGGACCTGACATGTAAAAGAGGACTGCGGGTGCTCAGGACACCCTCACAGGGAGGGGCACCCCAGCCCCAGAATAGAGGCCACTGATGGGGGCGTTTCAGGTCTTTAGCTGTAAAACGCTCTGCCTTATTTATCATGCTCCTCGTGCCGTTGTCCGGAAGGTGCGGTGACAGGCCAGCATCCCATGGCCTGTACGACTTATGCTGCAGCGGGCAGGCGATGTGTTTCAGCATCTCAGGAGCTCGCGGTGCCAGGTGTTAGGATGCGACGTAGGGTTTTGGGGAGCTGCCAGCCTGTTACCCCGTAGTTTTAAGTTTAGGCGGCAGCAGGGTGTTTCTGTTGGGGTCTCTCCTGTGTTAAGGGAATCAGACCCTCTTAACCAAAACCTTCGATTTTTTAAACAAAACCCGGGATTTGATTTAGAGGATTTGCTTTCTAGAGCTGCCTGCTCTCTGGTATATAGGCCTCCTGAGCTGCAGTTTCTTCCTCCCGGAAAGGTCCCACAAGACTGACACGTAAACAGTGCAAGGTGTTCTCTGTGAACTGCAATGATCCAGAACACTGGCTGTGCTCCCTGCTCGCTGCTGTTAAGAGCGTGAGCTGGAAGTGGAGCCTCTCTGCCCCTTCCAGAACCTTCCAGGACCTTCTGGGATGTGTGACCTAAAGCAAGTAACTTGACCTCTTAAAGCTGTAGGTCCACCATCTAGAAAACATTCTCGGATGACATGCCCTCCCAGAGGAGACCAGTTAGATGGGAAGAGCCAGGCACAAGCGGTCTCTCCAGAGGGCAGGGGGCACTGGGGCCTTGCTCTTCCACCCCAGGTGACCAGAGGAGACCTGCAGGAAGAAAACCAGAAGCCACGGAACATGGCCACGACTCCCAGGATGTGGCAAGAGCCTCCGAGTCTGATGCCGGGCGGTGATCTCAGCAAGGTGTGTGGTCAGCACTCACCTAGATGTCAGGCCACGGAAACCGACAGCCAGCGCCACCACGTGGAGCTGGCCCTCCCTGCGCCCAGTTGCATCCCGGAACAGAGCACTGCCAGCCGGGACCTCTGAATGGCCCTGCCCCTCCGGGCCTGGTGGCCACCCTTCACCTCCCCCACCCCTCATCCCCATCCCACAGACCCGGTGGCTCTTCTGAAGGCGCTCAGGGACTCAAGGTGGTTGCATGGGGAATGTGGGAGCTCTGGCCTCCGTCTCGGGACTCCCTCCGCATGGGCGTCCATGAGCCTCGGTGCCTCTGAGGCCCAATCCAAGCACCGTGCAGAGTCCCAGAAAATCTCAAGTTCGCCCATGAAGAGTAAGAGTCACAGGCACGTCCAGGCCATCACGGAAGGACCAAAGCCACGAGAGGCCCCAAGGAGGAGGGGTGCACTGAAGAGGACTCGTGACCCCCAGAACAGCTGGCGTGTGGTGGGACCGTCCTCCAGCCAGACAGGATAAGGTCCAAGCGGGAGAGCGCGACACTCAGAGACGGCCAGACCCTGTTACCGACCGGGCGGCACCTGGGACTCCTTGGCTCCCTCCCCGTGAGAGCCAGACCCCCGGCCCGCTGCCACCAGATTCCCCGCGAGCTCCGCATCCCCAACATGCCAGAGGGACTCTGCCTCCGTCTCCACAGAGGCCCAGGTGACCCAGAAGGTTGTCCCCGAGATCTGACAGACGGAAACACCACAGCTTTTCAACTCTGACCTGTAGCTGTTTCACGATTGGTGGTGCATTTAAACCCCATGTCGCGCTCAGCTCCGACGCAGAGGCCTTCATCACCCTCACAGAGCACCAAGAGGGACAGTCTCATTGAAGAACCATCAGGACGCCAAGTAGTCGACCAGAATTCAAAACTTGATGAACTTCAAAACCTTCTCAACAGATGTGCCCCTTAGAATAAACCCAGTGCCTGAACTCCCCTCCCAGGCGGCTCCTGTCACTGTCCGTGGGGGGCAGCGGGGGCGAGGGGAGGGAGGAGCGTGCGCCCTCCTGTGGGAGCAGGGTCAGCCGGCCGCAGCCTTCAGGGGTGAACATGAGCCCCCACTACGTGCTGTCGTGTCCCACCACATAGGACAGTCGTGGTGCTTATGGGCTCAGCGCCTGCCATGGGTGCCAGGCATGTGTGAGAGCTCACGCAGGTGCTCCTGTGACGTCTTGGTCACCCGTGGGCCACAGGAGGGGCCCGTCTGACTATCCCTGCTCTTGTATCCCTGCACGATGCCCTCCCACACCCCAGAAGTGACTGCTGTGTGCCCTAGCCTCCCCAGCTGACCCTGTCCCGCCCCCGCCCCGCCCCCACTGCCCTGTCCTCTGCTGCCCAAGCTCAGCAGTGGGTCCTCTGCTCCCAGAAGCATCCGCGTCCTTACACCAGAGGCTCCCGGCCAAGCCCTCCACGGGGTAGGGTGGGGGCTGGGCTGGGAGGTCTTTCCACGTCCCACCCACCCAGGCCCCCTCAGTGTCTCGAATACTGCTCCATGCTCCGAGCTGCCCCTCAGTGCGGACTGTCCACCCCGGCCCGTCCTTGGCTTCCAGCTCCCAGAGGGGTGATATGGTGTCTCATGTCCTCCTGGCACCAGGACCCCTGCCTGGAGCTCTGCACTGTGTTCACAGGTGACTGCTGGTTACTGGCGGCCATTGCCTCCCTCACCTTGAATGAAGAGATCCTGGCTCGAGTCGTCCCCCTAAACCAGAGTTTCCAAGAAAACTATGCTGGGATCTTCCACTTTCAGGTGACTTAGCAGTTGGCTTAAGGTTCTCCCAACAGGTCCTGGGGACTAAGGACAGGGACTAGGAGCTAAGGACAGGGGCTGGGGGCTAAGGACAGCTCCTCACGGCTAAGGGCAGGTGCTGGGGACCAGGAATAGGTCCAGGGGCTAAGGGCAGGTGCTGGGGGCTAAGAGCAGGTCTCAGAAGCTAGACACAGTCTTGGAGGCTAGAACAGGTCCCTGGTTTGGTCAAATTTATCAGATCCCAGTGTTTGGTGACCCTTGGACCAAGCTGTTCTACAAAGGACGCTGAGAGACTGCAGGAACTCCCTGGCCGGCCTCTGATGGGGGACCCTGCGAGGATGGCAGTGGGGGGGCTTTTTGGGACTTTGGTGGAGGGAGGTAGAGCAGGGCACTCAAAGTAATCCCCACGTTCTAGAACAGCTTGTCTTGGGGCCTGGGATAAAATGGTGAGGTGCTGCTCCCTGTCCTTCGATGCTGGGAAACGAGAGTGAGAGGTGGGGAAGATGCCGGGGGAGGGGGGGGACCTCAGAGGGAAGGACAAGGGTGAGGACCTGCCTCCCAGGATGGGCTGGTGGAGCCTGAGCCAAGGCGCTGCTAAGGCCCGGGGTCCCCATGCTGGCCCCCTCCAGCCCCCTGCCAGCCCCCCTCCAGCGCCTCCTCCAGCTCCTCCTCCACCCCCTCTCCAGTCCCCCCTCCAGAACCCTCCAAACCCCCTCTACCCCCCTCCACCACCCCTCTGCCCTTCACTCCCCTCCAGCCCCCCTCAGCGCCCTCCACCCCCCTCTAGCCCCTCTCCAGCCCCCTCCACCCTCCTCCACCCTCCCTCTAGCTCCCCTCCAGCCTCCCACACCCTCCCCTCCAGCCCCCCTCCAGTCCCTGTGTCTGTGCCTGCAGTTCTGGCAGTATGGCGAGTGGGTGGACGTGGTCGTGGACGACAGGCTGCCCACCAAGAACGGGGAGCTGCTGTTCGTCCACTCGGCAGAGGGCAGCGAGTTCTGGAGCGCCCTGCTGGAGAAGGCCTATGCCAAGTGAGTGACCCTGCCCTGACCATCCCACCGCCCCCGGCCCTGGCCTCTGGAGAGAGCTGGCCATGTTCAAGGAGCGCTTCAGCCAGAATTGGGCTCGAGGGCTGCCCGACAGCGACGGCCATTCCCAACCGTGTGGGGCCGAGTGCTGGGAGGGACCCTGCTCCCCCAGCGGGTCGCTGCCAGGTCATGTCACGTGTTCGTCAGCCAAGGGAGTGCGATTTCTGCCAGTGTGTACCCACTGCAGGCGGAACGCAAGCGTGCAGAGCCCACGGCGCTGGGCGTGGTCAGCGGGATGAGGGCCCTGTCCCCGCAGCCCCCGCCGGGGAGGAGGGCCAGGGTCTCCACGGCAGGCAGGGAGAACACTTCTGTCACGGGCCCAGACAACACAGCCAGAAGCCGCAGGCCGCCCCAGGGCATCAGGAGTGGCATAGGTGCCCGGGTGTGGAAATGTTCACATCACTGCCCTGTGGCCTGTGTTGAACTGTAGACGCCCATGAGCAGGCATGTCCTCTCCCAGCAGGATGGACGGACAGTGTGGGAGGTCCGACCAGATAGTCACCTGGGTCCTTCCACGCCCGAGGTTCTAGGGGCTCTTTGGGCAGCCCCACTGGGGGGTCTGAGCGGAGGGTCCCTGGAGCCACCAGCAAAGGAGGCATGGTGGGGGAGGGGACATGGGCGGTGGGGGAGGGGACACAGGGGCAGCGCTTCTGTTGCCCTCAGGATCAATGGCTGCTACGAGGCGCTCTCGGGTGGCGCCACCACGGAGGGCTTTGAGGACTTCACTGGGGGCATCGCCGAGTGGTATGAGCTTAAGAAGGCGCCTCCCAACCTGTTCAAGATCATCCAGAAGGCTCTGCAGAAAGGCTCCCTCCTGGGCTGCTCCATCGATGTAAGTCTGGGCCCCTCCCGCCTGCTCCGGCCGCCTCGGAGCCCGGGGCCCTGGGAGGCCGCAGGAGGCATCAGGAGGAACGTCTCCTCGCTGTGGCCTTTCCGCACGGCCCCCCAGAGGGAGGAGGGTCGCACCACGTCCTGTCCCCAGGTGCCCTCCAGGCAAAGGCCGAGCCCACTCTGGAGCCCAGTGCCCTGGGCGACTCGTTAGAAAACAAAATCCTACCCAGCAAATTTGAAGACCTAACTGGCTTCACTAAGAGGTTCATGAATCGGGCGGTTCCCCCATCCAGCTGGGGGGTGGGGTGGGGGGGCGTCCTCGGAGCGCACAAAGTGGAAGGTAGTCACACAAGGCGGGAGGCAGAGCAGCTGAAGGAGGAGCTGTTCAGGAGGTCGCGTTCCCTTATGGGGAGAGGGTCTCGTCTGCAGTGGCCTCTCTCTGGAGCCCATAGTCAGAAAACCCCTGACTGGTGGTAAAGATGGCGTGGGTGGGGGGGAGGGTTGTTGCACAGGGGCCTGGTAGAGGGACTAGAGGGAACAGGGGTGAGGGCGAGGCCGCTGCGTCCACCTGATTCCTCCTGTGTTCCCAGATCACCAGCATGGCAGACTCGGAGGCCATCACCTTCCAGAAGCTGGTGAAGGGGCACGCGTACTCGGTCACTGGGGCCGAGGAGGTGAGGCCGGCTGGGGTTTTTGGGGGCATTCTGTCGGCTCGGGTGGGTGGGTGACCCCCTGGGAGGCGTGTGGGGTTGGCTGATTTCCACGGCCCAGCCGTGAGGCCTGGAGCCCCTGAAGCCAAGGGAGCCTGGACGGGGTGGCCCACCGGTGCTGGCCTCCACCGGCCATGTGTCCCGGTGCAGCTGCCACGCTCCTGCTGTGCGGGCGGGCAGTCGCCTCACTCCGGGGACCAGCTGCTGCATGCGCATAGCAGTGCAGACCCTTCCAAGTGCTTTTGCGTTTGACCTCACAGCAATGTTAGCACCCAGATTCCTGTTCAGACCCGACGGCCTCTGGCCAGTGGCCTAGGCAAGTCTCTTAAACTGTCTGTCCGCCCCCCCCCCACCATCCCCTCAAGCTGGAGATAGTGATGACAGTCACTCCAAGGCTAACCCCCTGCCCGCGGACCCCCATCCGCCCGCGCGGTGTCACTGGAAGCACGCAGACATGCGAGCAGCCAGCCCCACTGCCGCGTACACAGCCCACATCTTCTGACGTGTCCAGGCTCCGTTTCTTTTAAACCTTGGGTTTTTATTCTGTTCTCCGCCCACTCTACCCCACCCCACCCCACGCATACATTGTTTTATTTTGAAAACGTTCACATCTACGGAAAAGTTGGAAGAATAGTGTGATACGCGCCCAAATGCAGTTTCCTTAGACTCAACAGTTAGGATCCGCACACATTCTCTCCCTGAGCTTCCTTCTGAGCCGACTAGAAGGAAGCATCAAGTGCCATAATGCTTTGCCCCTAAACACTTCCACGGTCACCTCCCACAAATAAGGACATTCTTTCACATAATGCCAGTTCTGTCACCATGCCGGAGAAATAAACATTCATCCAGCCGCGGCATATGACTGAGTCTGTGTTACATGTTCCCAGTTGCTATGAAACACCCTCCAATGCCACCTCCCCACCGGATTCACTGGAGATCCAGGCAGTGCACCTGCTTCTCAGCACCTTGTTCTCGAGACAGGTGGGGAGGCATCCAGCCTCCCGAGATCACAGCACAGTGATGCTGAGGTTCAGGGTCAGAGAGCCATATCCTGCCAGAGCCAGCCCCTCGGAGGGGTCTGGGGTCCAGCCCTTGTCCCTTTTCTGACCCCCTTGTAACATGGACCTGACCCCTTCTGGCTTGTGGAGAAGGGTTCTTGGCCCTGAGCACGAGCGTGTCCAGGCCTGGCTGGAACTCAGTGTCCCCCCCGCCCCCCTCCCACGCCACGTCTGCAGGTGGAGAGTGCAGGGAGCCTGCAGAAACTGATCCGCATCCGAAACCCCTGGGGAGAGGTGGAGTGGACGGGCCGGTGGAATGACAAGTGAGAGGAGAGGGGGCTGCGGGCGGGAGGGGGGGGTTGTGGGCGGTGGCTGTGCATGAGCAGGGCCCCGGGGTCACAGGTCCAGGGCGATGTCTGCCCTCCCCCCCAGTCCCTGTGGCTCCTGGCTCTAAGCTTGTCCCTGGGTTTCCACTGGGGCCTGGGGACAAGCCCTCGCCGGCACTGGCGCTGACGCCCCTGCGTCACGTGGTGTTCTAGCTGCCCCAACTGGAACAGCGTTGACCCAGAGGTGAGGGAGAGGCTGACCAGACGGCACGAAGACGGAGAGTTCTGGTGAGTTCGCGGGAGGGGTCCAGCTGGTGGCCTCGCGGGAGGGGTCCGGCTGGTGGGCTCGTGGGAGGGGTCCGGCTGGTGGGCTCGCGGGAGGGGTCCGGCTGGTGGGCTCGCGGGAGGGGTCTGGCGCGTGGGCTTGAGTGGGGCATTAGAGAGACTATTGTTGGAGGCACAGAGGCCACAGGCTCTGCCCCTGTCGTTTCAAATCCACCGTGTGACCCTGAGTGAAACCGTCCCTCTCAACAAGGGGGTGCACTGGCTGAGCCGCCCCGCAGAGAGGCAGGAGGGGGTCCTGCAGGCGTGTCCACAGCCCAACAGAAACCCGGGAGGGCGGGGCCTCCTTCTGACCGGTTCCTAGGGTCATCCCCCACCTCGAGGACCAGGCCTGCACAGTCACCAGCGAGAAGGAGCCAGAATCGCCACCTGCTGGCTGCTCTGCCCTGCTCCTGGGCTGGCCTTAGGCGGAAGGTCAGGGTTCAACGGTGTGCCCTCCTGTGACCCGGGCACCCCTGTCCCTGCGTCCACCAGGATGTCTTTCAGCGACTTTCTGAGGCACTATTCTCGCCTGGAGATTTGCAACCTGACCCCAGACACCCTCACCAGCGAGTCCTACAAGAAGTGGAAACTCACCAAGGTGGACGGGACCTGGCGGCGTGGCTCCACCGCAGGTGGCTGCAGGAACTACCCAAGTAAGGCCCCCTACACCGCCGGGACCCCCGGCCCAACGCACTTGACTGCACTCAGAACCGTCACCTCTGTGCTCACTCGGCCCCCTGCCTGGCCAGACCCCACACATGGCCTCCCCAGCCCTAGGTCCCTTGTGCTGTGGCCTCCGCCACACACCATGAGGCCGAGCATGGTCCCAGCTCATGCCCACGGCCACTGCGTCCATGTCCCGTGCCATGGTCTCCACCATACCTGTGAGGCCGAGCGTGGTCCCAGCTTATGCCCGTAGGCCACTAGGTCTGCCTCTATGGTGCACTCCAGGCCCGCCTCAGATGGGGTCCCTGGTCCCTCCTTTGTTGACCCCCAACCCTTCTACCTTGTGGTCCAGGGTTCCCACGCCCCTCTCCCTCCCCCTGAGCCGCAGAAATTGAGTCGGTGTGACATCACACCTTGGCCTTGGGGACTGTCCCAAGTGGTTTATGTGTGTTGTCACCGTCAGTTCTCATGAGTCTCCGCGGCGGGCACGCTGCTGTCACCGCCATCTTTAAGACAAGCGCTGCCGCTTGGCAAGGTTCAGTACTTGCCCAGGGTCACACAGCTTAGGGGTACGTGATGCAGGCAGTGTGACTTGTGGAGCTGGTCCTCAAGGACCATCTGCGGAGGCACATCACGGTCACGTGCCGATTCTCCACTGATGAGGAAACGGGCTCCAGCAGCAGCCTGGGACACAGACAGGTGGTCAGATGAGGACTGGCCAGGACCTCAAATTCTGGTGCTTTCAGTCCTTGGCCTCCAGTGTGTGACCACCAAGTGGCTATTCCAAAGGTGCTGGTGACAAGCCCCTCACTCGATCAGGGGCCAGGTGGTAACCATCTGGGCCTTGATGAGCTCCCAGTTCCTCGGCACTCAACGCGCCACTGCTGTAGCCGAAGGCAGCCAGACTTCAGAGACTGGATGTGGCTGTGTTCTAATAAAGCTTTATTTATAAAAACAGGCAGCCAGTGGTCCTGGGAGCCGTCATTTGCCAACTCTGCATCAGATGATGCTCTTATTTCCCCAAAAGAGTTTTATCCTGTTAGGTGGGGGATACAACTGTCACAGGTATCCTTGAACATGAACGAGTCTCGGTCCTTCTGTAAATGGGCTTTGGGAGTGGGGGAGGCAGACGCACACTGGGGGCGGGCACCTGGACACAGAAAAGGAGGCGGGACTTGTGCACAGGATGTTCCTGGCCTTGGGGTTCACGGAGGGGGTGCGGAGCGCATGCCCCCAGTGCCCCACCTGGCCAGCCGGGCCTGGGGAGGGACAGGGGCCGCCGGGGCTCAGCTCCTATGCCCTGTTCCCGAGGGAATGACTAGCCAGCCTGAGGGTGGGTGACAGAGACCTGTGCAAGGGAAAGTTGGGACATGGGTCCCTATGAGGCCAGGCACCCCCTGGCCTTCCCCCATCCCTCTTCCGTGCACCCCTGCTGGGGGCAGGGGGGCGGCCCCGCGTCCTCAGTGACCCAGCCCACCTCTGGCCACAGACACGTTCTGGATGAACCCGCAGTACCTGATCAAGCTGGAGGAGGAGGACGAGGACCAGGAAGACGGCGAGAGCGGCTGCACCTTCCTGGTGGGCCTCATCCAGAAGCACCGGCGGCGGCAGAGGAAGATGGGGGAGGACATGCACACCATCGGCTTCGGCATCTATGAGGTGGGGGCAGCACGGGGCGCAGCCTCCTCCCCCAGCCTCAGCCCCACGAGGACGCCCCCCCCTCCCCCCGCAGGTGGGACGGGATGCAGGGAGCTCGGCCCAGGAAGAGCAGGGCTTTTGCAGCAGAACTCAGTGTACGCAAGACACGGCGGCCAGGCCGGCGTGAACACACGTCTTGAGGTCCCTGTGGCGGGTCCGTGTCCCAGAGGTGCCGAGCACTTGCTGGGGCCCACAGCTGCTTCCCAGAGAGTCCACTCTTTTTAGGGGCCTCCCGCCTCTTCTGAGACACCCCCTCCCCAGGCCTGGTGCTCCGCCTGGCCCACCAACCCACAGGGGACAGAGTCTGCACTGGGGACACCCAGAGGGCAGGAAGTGCTCCAGCATCTGACTGGGACCAGCTCAGGACCAGATCCCACGCTCTGTGCTGCCAGCCAGGGGGGGCTTCATTCCAACCCAGTTCGAGCAAAGCCAGGCTCAGCCACAGGGGGAGGGGCGCCCGCCCCACCCTTCCCTGCAGCACAGCCCAGAGCCAGTCAGCTGAGGGGTGGACCCCACATTCACTGAAACCGCTGCTGTGGGGAGGGGAGCGCGCAGCTGGCAGAGGACAGACGTTGGCTACATGGCCCCCGGGACAGCACCCCCGCCCGTCCACTCCCCGAGTAGCGTAGGTCACCTGCCCTCACTGCAAAAGTGCACATGAACTCGAAGCCCCTCAGTCTCTGTAACCGGAGCTGAGGACTTCCGATCTGGGACAAAGTGACCCCGGGGAAAGTGCAAAAGGGACTGTGACCCAGAGCCAATCCCCCACCTCATAGGTGTGCAAAGTCGGTCCTGGGCTCCAGAGCTGGGAACCGGGGGGCGGGGGGGAGGGGGGGGAATTACTTGGTCCCCTTTCAGAGACCAGGAAACTGAGGCAGGGAGGTGACTTGCCCAAGGACACACAGGCTGGGTGTGACGCCTGCTGTCTCCCGGCCCAGTGGCCACCAGCTTCAGCACCCTCTCCTGCAAGTTGGGGGCGGGAGACTTCAACCAGATGCTTCACGGCTCCGTGCCCTGGTTTTATGCTCCATAAATTAGCAATGGCGCTAAGGGCTCCCCCACGTTGCTGCTGGGTCACGAGGTTTGTCCTCCGTGTGGGAACAGTTGGGGCCCCTTGGAAAATAATTACTGTGCTGTGCTGACGTAGTTCACATTGCCAGAGCTGCAGGCGGGGAGGCCTGCAGTCGTCCCGGGGGTGACCCCACGTGGCTGCAGGGGACGGGGGGGCCACAGCCCGTCCTGGGGGGTGACCCCACGCGGCTTCCCAGGAACCTGAGGTGTGTTCTTCTTTGTGCTTGCAGGTGCCAGAGGAGGTACGTCTGGCCGATGCTGGCTCATGTTCATCAGCAAGTACAAGGCCCTGCTGGCCGTGGGGTCCTGGGAGGCCTGGGTGGGGCTGGGGGCAGGGTGCACCCTGGGGAGGTTGCTCAGGTCCCAGGTCCTGCTGGGCTGAGCTCGGGGCCAGGTCTCCGGGGGGTCCCCGGGGGGACGGGGCAGTGTGGGTGGGCAACGTGTGGTCTGGGATGCAGGAGGCTCTTCGTGAAGTCCTGCAGTTCTCGTGAAACAAGCCTGAAGGGAAAGGCGAGCCCCATGACTGTGATATAAGATGATGTGGGAGCACAGGGGCCTGGACCCACTTCCCAACTCTGCCACTTGCAGGCCGTGTGACCTCAGACAACTTATGCGTCCTCTCTGGACTTCAGTTTCTTTTTCTTTTTTTAATTTTTTAAATGTCTTATTATTTATTTTTGAAAGAGAGAAAGAGTGCAAGCAGGGGAGGGGGCACAGAGAGAGGGGGACAGAGAATCCAGAGCAGGTTCAAGGCTCTGAGCTGTCAGCACAGAGCCCGACGTGGGGTTCAAACTCCCTAACCGTGAGAGCATGACTTGAGCTGAAGTTGGACGCTTAACCGACGAAGCCCCCCAGGCTCCCCTCTCAGTTTTTTTTTTCAATAAAACTGATAAGCTTTCCACCTGGAGGGACCACAGGGATGAGGTGACTGGCGTGAGAGCGCGTAGCAGGCCTGCGGCTGGCATTAGCGGGTCTGGTGGGAAGCTCAGCGGCCGTGTGGGTCCATAGGCCACAGCTCTGCCAGTGACCACGCGGGGCACTCCGCACCCCCCCTGCACAGCAGTGGTCCAGGCTGTCAGGCCGGGCAGTGCCGTCCGTGGCAAGCTGGGCTTCCCGGATACGGCCTGTGAGCTCCTGCCCCGCTGCGGTCGGCCCGACCAGCCTGCCTTCCCAGCCGGGCCCTGTCCCTACCCCAGTCCACAAGTCACACCCCACACAGCACCGGACCGAGTCCTGTGGGGCACTCGCGTCCAAGTCACTCTGTGTGCAGATGGGACGTCTCTGCAGACCCGGCCGCACGCAAGGCCCCCGCTGCACGTGTCCTAAGCCTCCCCTGTGGACATTTGTTCTTTCGGTGGAGAGTTTGGGTTGTCGCCATCTCCAAGAGTGAAAATGACGCGGATCCCGGGCTCTTTCTGCCGTCTGCTCCCACTGGTTTCTGTTTGTCCACCAGATGACCGGACAGACCAACATCCACCTCAGCAGAAACTTCTTCCTGACGAACCGAGCGAGGGAGCGGTCTGACACCTTCATCAATCTGCGCGAGGTGCTCAACCGGTTCAAGCTGCCGCCCGGGGAGTACATCCTGGTGCCGTCCACCTTCGAGCCCAACAAGGACGGGGACTTCTGCGTCCGGGTCTTTTCCGAGAAGAAAGCCGACTACCAGTAGGTGCTCTCGCCCTGGCGCCCCCGCCTGTACCCCCACCCCGGGCGCCGGCCCTCCCAGCGTCTACTCTGCGTGCGACACCCGCCCTCTTCCAGGGCGTGGCTGGGCCCCTGGTGGCTGGAAGGGCCTCAGCATTCCACTCAGGGGAGCAAAGAAATGAGCCACTCGGGATAGCTGCGGTTAGAAAGGGCGGCTGTAGAGCCAGGCACAGAATCTGCTTTGACGGCTGTGTCTCTGAAAGATCAAGCTGTCGTGTTCGTTGTAATGATACGTGTTAGGGGGGCTGAACCCCGTCAACTCACAGGGAGAGGCCGGGCCACGCTTCCCAGCCGGCAGTTGCTGGGTGTGAGTGACAGCCTCAGTGGTCACCGGCCAGCGGTCTGGAGACCCTTGTCCTGTCTGACGTCCTGGGTTCTCAATGGCTTCTGCCCTGTTGGCCACTGCCTCAACCGCATCTGTTGGGTCGGGCACCTGATTGCAGGAGACACAGCCTCGGCGGCTTAAGCACATGGAGGTTTACTGAAGGACACGGGGCTTCGCATGGATGGGAAGCAGGGCACACGGCACGTGGTGTGTCATGTCTGCCTCATGCCACGGGCTCCCATCAGGTCCAGGACACTGTCCGATGGGCCGGCTCGGGCCAGACACAGGCACAGCAGCCGGGACCCTCGGTGGACCGGTGGAGGGTCCCTGGGCCCAGGAAGGACCCAGCCTTGCACACGGCGCTGGACGCCACCCCAGCTTCAGCGAGCAGCACACCCCGGCCTCTGAGCAGAACAAGTAGGCCGTGGGGATCTTGCACAATCCCGGGTGTGAAAGGCTTACAGGACTGAGATTGCTGCGGAAGCAGAGAGTGGGGGCCTGGGGTCTGCTGTCCCCTCGCCCACTTCTCAAGGAGCAAGAAAGTCCCTGCCAGCCTCTGCTTCGGCCATGCAGGGCTGTGGGGTCCCAGCGGCCTCGCCTGCCCCTCAGCGCCCTGTCACACGTGCATGTCGGCCTCGGTTTTGGCACCACGTGCTCCCGACCCCACCCCCTTCCAGTAACACAGTCTCCCTGTTTCCAGGGTGGTCGACGATGAGATCGAGGCTGACCTTGACGAGGTTTGTATGACCCCCGGACCCACCCGCTCTGTCCCCAGTGGCCCAGGGGCCAGAGGAGCCACCCCTAATCGCTAGGGGTCCCAGGACCTCCTACCTGCAGATTGAAACTAGGGTCACTCCTGCACCTGCAACACCCAGTGCACTGCCCCTGACCCCCTAGCACCGGACCACAGGCTTCTCATCTCCACCCTTCCTGGGCCTCAGTTTCCTCTCTGTAAAATGAAAACGCTGGGTGACGAGATTTCTGAGGTTCCCGACTGCCTGGGGGCCCCAGGGGAGGCCGGACCACCACAAATCCACAGCCAACATGACGGAAGGCCCTTCCACTGTCCCTCGTCCCCAGGGAGAGAGCGAATAGTCCAGGGGGCCACTGTCGAAGTCCTTCTAGAATACTCTGGCTGGACTCTGCTTCTGGATCCCCACTAGTATAGATCAGGAAGGGTGTCCTAGTTGAGGGCTAGAGGAGACGCCTCCATGAGGATCTGCTGACCCTTCCCTCAGACTTGCCATCCCTCGTGGGTCCTCAGTCAAGCCTGCGTGAGACGGCCCGGAGGCGGGGGGAGGCGCCTCCTGGCTCTGACCCACGCCCGTGTGCCCCCTTCCAGAACGACGCCAGTGAGGACGACATTGACGACGGCTTCAGGAGGCTGTTTGCACAGCTGGCAGGCGAGGTGGGTGTGCATGCGGGTTCTGCTCCGCGTCCCTCTGGCCTTAGGGTTCTGGCTGTTTCCTGTCCTCTGTCTCCAGATAGGACTGGGGCTCAAGCCCCTCCCCTGATTTCCACAGAGACATGTGGGGGGACAGAAGGGTCGCAGGTCCCAAGAATGCAGGCGGCTCAGGGCACAGTTCATTCAGGTGTTATCCCTGCCGTCCAGCCCTCTGTCGGCCCAGCCAGTCCAAACACGTGTGGGGGTGACCCTGTCACCTGGCCCCCATCACAGACACCTGTTCCCACTGGTCCGCCACACGTGGGACCTGTCCCCACCCCCAGGGGAAGGGACTGTGGCCCACGGTGGTCTTACCCCTGGGGGTTCGTCCCCTGTTCCTTGTCCACCAACACGTGTGCGTGTGTAGGGCACCAGACCCGCCCTGGGTATCCGGGCCCCAGAGGCAGCACCGCAGGGAGACAGCTGGGCCCTCACCAGCTTTGCCAGGAGCCAGACCCAGGGTTTCAAAGGGGAGGAGGGGGTACCAGGCGGAGGGCTGGGGTGAGAAGGGCATCAAGTGGGGCCACACGGGTGGGTGGGGTGGAGGGTTCTCGACTGTGTCCAGGGGGCCTGTAGTCCTCCTGGAGCAGGTGTGTGGACCACGGGCAGCCTTGGGGAGGAGGGTGTTGGGCACGCCCATCACAGGCCCCGCCCAGTGCACCTGGCATGGGCGGAGCCTCCGGCGTCCTGCAGCCCCGGGCAGTAATCACGCTCTGCTTCGTGTCCACAGGATGCGGAGATCTCAGCCTTCGAGCTGCAGACCATCCTGAGGAGGGTGTTGGCCAAACGTAAGTGACCTGGTGGGCCCCGGCCCCCTCCCCAGCCCCGTGTAAATGCTGCCAGCCGTCACTACCACGGAGGAAAGGGGCAGAGCAGGGTCTATGTGCCCGGGTCAGACAGGGTCAGGGTTCCCAGTTCGAGACCGTTGCTGTGGCTCTTGCTGGGAGCCTGGGCGTGGAGGCCCTCGGGCTCTCTTGCTGCACCTGCAAAGCGGGTGCATCACCACCTAACCCAGGAGCACGGGCAGCGTCCAACAAGGTGCTCTGAGAAGCTGCCTGGCGCAGAACCTGCCCACTGTGTGGTGGCTGCTCGGATGGACAGCTGGTAGGGGGGCTGAGCCGGCCCGGCCGCGGCCTGAACCCCGGATAGCAGAGTCATCAATGAAGTGATGACCCCTCACTAAGCAACCAAGGTGGAAGGACAAACGGACCGTCCGAAACCATGGAATGGTGCACGAAGTGTCTCCCCAGCCTGCATGTCAGGTGCCTCGTGTGACTGGCTTTTCCCGTAGAGACATTGGTTCCCTTGAGCCAATGAGCCCGGCCTGGGACTCGAGGTCTCAGAGGCCGCTGGCGGGCTCCTGGAAGAAGGGGCGAGGCCCAGAGGGGCTGGAGCACCTGTAACGGTGTCCGAGGCAGAAACAGGGCAGGCCAGCCTGGGGACACATTTCCTCCTCTAATTATCACAAGAGCCACAGGGCCCTCAAGGACACAGCTGTCCCTGAGAGGGTCTGTGCGAGGTCAGACCCCCGTGAGCCTGGGCATCGCCATGTCCTGAGCAGCTGCCCTGGTACCGGCAGCGGCGGCCTAACCACACCATAGAAACAAATTCCCACGTGGCCAGAGAGGAGCCTGGGCTGGCCGCCCGGCCACCGCCAGTGTGCAGAGGGCACCAGCCCCGGTCCCTCATAGCCAGTTCCTCCCTGGCAGGCCAGGCACGGACAAGACTGTGTCTGCCCTGGAGGCTGCCAGGCGTGAGTGAGGTCACAGGGCTGCTGAGGCGTGTGGCCAGCAAAGCCTCCTTGTTCCCCCGCAGACGCAGGCGGGAAGAGCCAGGCTGCGCCGGGACTTGGCTTCCCTGCCCCCAGCTGCCCGCCGCCCCCGGCCCCGGCTAGGGAGGGGTCCGTGCCCAGGGGGCTCTGAGGTTACGCTGCAGCCTTTACAAGGACAGGACAAGAGAGGGAGGGATCCCTCATGGAGTTGGGGGGGTGGGGGGACCAGACTCCTCTATTGTGACAAGCGTTCCCTGCAGCCCACCAGCCACAGCCACTCTGGACAGGTTCTGGTCGGCGGGACGTGGGCTCAGTGGCAAATCACAGGCAGATGTCCCTCCTCCCGTCCCCTCCAGCAGCTACCAGCCTGCTGTGGCACTGGAAGGATAGATGAGCGCTTCCTCAGGGGGGATCCTGGGGACAGCACGGCTCTACGGGATGTGACTGTCACTTGTATTTTGTCTTATAGGCCAGGACATCAAGTCAGATGGCTTCAGCATCGAGACCTGCAAGATCATGGTGGACATGCTGGATGTATCCTTCCATGGAGCAGGGCCCAGACAGGGTGTTTGAGACCCCCACCCCAGGGGCTTTGACACTGCACCCTTGCTGGTCAGGGACCCTGAAGGGGAGAAGCCGCAGATGAGGGGGGACAGAGGGCCTCCTCTCGCGGGAGGTGCCCGCTTAGCTGTGCCTGAGCAGCCATAGAAAATACCCCGCAGACCATCCTGTTTCTGACGCATATCTGGTTGTGGGTTTTCTCCATCTGCAGGCACGGGGCCCCACCCACGTGGGCCGCTCCTTCCTGGGCCACGGCCTCCGGGACAAGTCTAGGATTTGGATGGTCTGTGCTGCCCGAAGTTTTCTCTCGTGGGCTCACAGCACCCGCCTTGTGGCTACCCTGCAGAAGCCCTTGGAGACACTGCAGAACTCAGCAGGGGGCTCTGCTGGTCATGTGACAGCTCATTCTCCCCAGGGCCGCCCCCTCCCCCACACCTCCAAGCCAACCAGCAAGGGTCAGGGTCGCCAGAGGCCTCCTTCCGGGCCCTCCGACAGTCCTTAGAGGCAGGCCCGGTCCTGCAGGAGGGCATAAATGCGCTGTGGGAGTCACGCCATCGGGTGGAGGGGACAGGCCAGGTGCCAGGGCGCCCACACAGCCCCATGGCAGAGCTTTCCCTTAACAGAGGGCAGTCAGATGGCAGTGGCAAGCTGGGGCTGAAGGAGTTCTACGTTCTCTGGACAAAGATTCAGAAGTACCAGGTGAGCGTCCCGGGGCCTCTGGGGGCGCAGGGCTGTATCGGGGACATGCAGTGCGCATACAGCCCTTTACGAGGCGGGGAGGGGGGCATCCCAAGGGTGGGGACTTGACCCACAGAACGGGCTGGCCAACAGCTGAAGAGCAAGGATGAGCGCCTGGGTGTGGGGGTGGGGAATTAGGTGAGTCTTCCAAGGCCAGTCAAGGCACAGCTGGAAACACGCTGCGCAAGCTAACTTGCCGCCTGCCTCGCTTTCGGTCATGGTTCTTGTAACTATCTCGCTTGTTCCAGAAAATTTACCGGGAAATCGACGTGGACCGGTCCGGCACCATGAACTCCTATGAGATGCGGAAGGCACTAGAAGAAGCAGGTAACACCTGGGACTATTTCTCCGCTCCGTGCCATCCCTTCCCCGCGTGCTCCGTTCCGGCGTGGGATGCGTGGGCGCGTGCTCCGTCCTTAGGTGGGATGCGTGCTCTGCACGGTCTGGAGGTCGGTGACCATGAGACAAAGCAGGTGCTGGTTCGGTACAGGCACCTCCTTTCCGTTCCCTTGTAAAAAGCTCCCTGGTTAAAATGCTCTGCCTGCCATACCTTCCGGAATCTACGTTTCCTCCGAGAAGCCTGGCAGGGCGAGCGGGCAGAGCCGGTTCTTGGCAGACAGGCTGCCGGCTCCTGCCAGGTGTGGGGCTGACACAAGGGTCTCCGCTGCCCCCTGCTGCCCGGCCTTGGGGACTAGGGCAGGCGGCCACAGCTGCCTTCTGACAGCCGGTGGGCAGAGGGAGGGAGAGACGGGCTCCCCGCCTGTCGGGCACACGATACTGGCAGGGCTGAGTCACGAGTCCTTGGTGCGCCACGGAAGACAGGAAACACGGCCCTGATTTCGGGCAGCCGTGGCCCCTGGGAAATCCTGCGGCTGGGGGAGCGGGACTCCCCGGTGGTTTAGGGCAGATGGTCTCTGCCACGTGCATCCAGGAAGAGTCTAGTCTCCAGGGGGACTGAGAGCCAAACAGACGGGAGAGGAAGCCCGGGCCACAGGAATGGGGATGGGCCCCCAGGATAGGGGTGGGGATAGAACAGGCCACAGGGACAAAGATGGGCCACGGGGACGGGAAAGAGAAGCCTCGCGGCAGCCAGCAGGAACAGATAAGGCCGGGAGAGCGGCTGGAGTCGGGAGCGAGGACGGCCGGCCCCCAGGAGAGCACCAGGGGCCGTGGACAGTGGCGATGTGAGGGCCACATCCATCCGTGGGTCCGTGGCGTAGGCTCTGCCTGCCACGCACACTGAGGCCGCGCCTTTGTCCTCCGCCTTCAGGCTTCAAGCTGCCCTGTCAGCTCCACCAGGTCATCGTCGCGCGCTTTGCGGATGACGAGCTCATCATCGACTTCGATAACTTCGTTCGGTGTCTGGTTCGACTGGAGACGCTGTTCAGTAAGTGGCTGTTTGGGAAAGGGTCCGTCCCAGTTTTGGGGTCCACGCAGGCGAGGCCGCCAGGACGGGGCGTGCACATGCAGTTGACAGTGCAGACCCTTCTCGGGGAGGGACGGAGGGGAGGGCTGCTGACCGAGCGAGCAGGAGTGTGCTGACGCGGCCCTCCTTCCCCCGCAGGAATATTTAAGCAGCTGGACCCTGAGAACACCGGGACCATCGAGCTCAACCTCATTTCTGTAAGTCGGCTGCTCACACTGGGGGACGGAGAGCTGTCACCTGGGGGACAGGGACCTGGGGCTAGTTGGCTTTTTATGGAAAGCTCCACCTTGCAAATTCTGTGGCCCGTGGGAGGCGGGCCTGTGAACAGCTGTGAGGTCCCACCGTGAACTTGACCCTTCCTGACCCCCCTGGTGGACCCTGGGGTCCCAGGAGACACTCCCGGCCCCTCCTCCCACATGCCTTGCCCTGAGCACATGTGGGAAAACGACGAGAGGGAAAAATGAACCGTTGATTCCCACGCACAGGAGACCACTCACGTAACAAAACCCTTCTGTGCGAAATACAAGTGGGCTTGGGGGAAGATCTGTCGTTCTTTCTGGGCAAATTACCTTTTCCTGCCTCCTCCCCATTTAAAACTATGATAAAAAATGCATCCACTTGCCACAGAGATTTCTGAGCTCCTGGTCTGGAGCCCCAGCAAGACACAGAGGACCCGCGGTCCCAGTGGGGAGGGCGTTCAGTCTGTGAGCAGCAAAGTGCAAAATGTTCTCTGGTCATCCGGGTGCCAGAACATTCTCCCCTCCAGGAAGAAGGGCACGCCTTCCGTGTCATGCGCTCATGTTTGCTGTCGGGGGAACTGAGCTTGGAGCAGCGTAGGCTAGCGAGGGCTGGTGCCACATGGGAATGACAAAGTCCCATGTTCCGGCCAGAAGCATGACAAGGGGACGGGTGTAAGGGACTGGGGACTCCTTTCCTGGAACCCTGGGGGAAGGTAGAATGAAGTATCAGTGCACCTGCTAGCATGTGTCATAAAGGAACTTCAGCCACTGAAAATACATTTTAGTTGTACAAATGCTTCTAGAACTGCAGGGGCCAGAAGTATCCTGCCCCGAGGCCCCAGTCTATAGAGCAACAGCACAGCCCTGGCTGCACGATGCCCCACGGGCAGCTTTGCAGAAGCCAAGGGCCCAGGTCCCAGACCGACCGGAGCAGAGTCTGAGCCTGAGCCCGCACTTGACCCCAACACAGACCGAGGCTGAAAGCACTGCCTTCAGGGACAGCCGCGTCCCAAACTAATAATGTCTGCCCTACCTTGGGGGGGGGGGCAGGAACGCCAGTCACGCGGTCCATGCTGTCTCATGGACGACGGGCTTCGAGCCAGGTCGTCAGGCCACCTGGGCCGGGCCGGGCTCTGTGCACGATCCCCCTCTGCTCCGGGTGGGCCTGCGGACTGCGTGCTCCCCTCAGGGTCTCTGAGCTGACCGCTGCCTTCCTCCTCACAGTGGCTCTGCTTTTCGGTCCTTTGAAGTCGTCACTGATCTGCCTGAAGACAGTCAACCGAGGACGAAGCCTCCACAGAGAAACTTATCTGGACCTTGAAATTCTGGCAACATTTACTTAACCAATGATTGGAGCTGAAAATAAAGATGCTTTCTGAGATGGCGGAACCTTCCGAGTTCCCATTTCACAGTAAAATCCCTGTGTATCCTGATGTTACATGCAAGTCAGTCCCTTACTCCTGGGAGAGCTCGGAGGGAACCTTAAATCTGTAAAAGTTTTCCGGTTTACTTTTACACACTTCCTTGTTTATACAGTATTCAGTCTGGGAGATGCGGGGGTATTTTTAACAGCTGAATAAACACGCAGTCACTCTCCAGGGACACGAGGGCCTTGCCGAGAACATTTGAAGAGAATTCAGGTTTAAAAATGCAGCTGTGGCATCTGCCAGACAGCAGCGCGCATTCCTGGAGTGAACGGAAAACAGGAAGCAGCGGAGTGACAGGTGGGGCCGTGGCTACACGAGCACCGGGTTCTGTGTAAATCCGCCTGCTGACCCGTGCGTCTCAACCCAAACCCCGATGTCCGGCCACAGAAGATGAAGCCACGCGGCTCTCGGGCCGCTAACGGAAGTGCGCACACGAGCAGGTGCCTGGTTTCCGAGCCGATGAGGGAAAGGACAAGGTGCCGTTTGGGGCCCAGTGGTCGCAGCGCGTGTGCGGGGAGCGCTGGCGCCCTGCCTCGCCCTGGGGAGACACCAGCCGCGTTACACACCCACCGCCTCGTTGCCTTAATTCCCGCCAAATGTGCTGTTAATAAAGAGTGACCCAAGCGCGCGGCGTGCGTGCCGTCCTTCCACGGGGCCCCGCGGCGGGCTGCGCGCGTCCCCGTGTCCGCCGTTCTAGCTCCAACAAGGTGACCCCTCACCTCCCCTCTTGCGAGGAAAAGGCGGCTTGTCTACCCTCCTTTCTCCGGAGCCACACAGCCTCTTCATCCGATTCAGAGGTTCTCAAGTGGCCGCGAAGTAGGTGTGGTGCTCCCCTGCCGCCTTGGCTCTCTGCCGCGGAGGCCCAGGCGGGTCCCTCGGGGGTGGGGACGAGAGGCCGACAGGACAGGCATGTGAGTCACAGGCCTGCGGAAGAGGTGTGTGACGGGCTGGCACGGGAGGTGTGGGACAGGACGGGACAGCAGGTGCAGCTCCCAGCGCGGCCCGAAGAGGCGGCGCACATGGGGAGGGGAGGGGAGGCGCGGTCCCAGGTGGCGGAGGGCCGCAAACCCCGTCTGTGCTGGGGGCTCTGCCCGCGCCTCCCCTGCAGGGCCACCCCGCCTCCCCACCTGCCTCGCTCTACAGCTCATTCAGTCACAGCAGAGGGAACGACAGAGGCACAAAACCGCGAAGGGCTGTGCTCCGCTTGGCTGGGCCCATGGAGAACAGGACGGCTGGGAGGAATGACAGAACCCGGGTCCCAGGGAGAAGGGCGAAGGTACCGCAAACGCCGTCCGCCTTCTGACCTGGGGGGGAAGGGGTCCCAGCCCGAGGCCCCGGCTGTGCGGTGAGCGTAGTGCACGTGCTGGGCCCACACGCCGGGGGCACACAGCTCCGGGCAGCTCTTTGCGCGCAGGTGTCCCGGCTCCCGGGACAAGCCCTGGAGCCCTCCTCCCAGGGCCAGCAGCACCTCTCCCCTCCCCTCTCCTCTCCTCTCCTCCCAACCCTTCGGCCAGGGTCCTGCCCCTCGTGTAACCTGTCCTGTGACCACCGCATCCCTCCTGGCCCAGACCTATGAAGGAGGACTGGTGGGATCTTCTGGATTTTCTGTCCCTTTGACGCGGTGGCCTCTGCCCTCTGCCCCTCCTCCACGTGCACCCCCCCCCCCCGTGAAAAGCCCCTCTTAGGGCCCACCGCCCAGCTGCCCTGCTCCCTCTTCTGCAAAAATCTAAACTGAGGCTGTGAAGACGCCTCACAGGGTCACCGTGTCAGACCCAGGGTCCCTCCCGTGGTGGCCATGCACCCACAGCACGACAGCCACCACAGCCAGATTGGAACCGTCTGCTCTGCTCCCCCCACCCCAAACCCAGACCCCAGATCCTTCTCTGTACCTGCAAATGTTCCCAGGCGGATCTCGGATAAGAAGTAAATAAGTAAACACCAAAAGAGAACAAAAACACATCGTAGGTTTAGGACGGAGGCCACAACGATGACCACGGTTCACTGGCCCCTGCTTGCACAGGCCACACTGGGGAGGGCACAGCCAGGTCAGGGCAGGGTCACGGTGTCCACCGTCAGGAACCACCAGACCAGGCATCACACTAGCTTCCTGTTGCTTTAGCAGCTTAAAATCACTCGTCCTGGGCGCAGGCTCAGTCGGTGATGTCGGGTCATGAGCCTGAGCCCCACGCTGGGTGTGGAGATCACTTAAAACTGTCCTGTAGCAGGGTTCCCCCGCTCACCCCGTGGGAGGGGCCACAACCCTGCGGCTCCAGGACCGGCGCCCCCCCACCCCCCGTCGTCGCAGCCGGGCTCAGCGGCAGCCCAGGCAGCCACCCTGTCCAAGGTCAGTGACCTACACTGTCCCTCACCTCAGCGCCTGCCGGAGGTTCACCCCATACCCACTCCTCTCACAGCTCTGGGAGCTAGGGGGTCCGAGGCCAGGGTGCAGGACCCTTCGTGCAGTGCGTGCGGCCACCCCCGTGGAGAGGGGAGGGCCCTGATCCTTCCCTCCTCTGAGGACGCGAATGCCTGGGGGTGGGGGCGGGGGCTCGACCTGGTGACCTCACATGAGCCGCCCTCCTGAACCCCACCAGGCCGGGGTGGGGGGCAGCAGCAGGGGTGTCCTCTGGGGTCCAGCCCTCGAGGTCACCTTCTCCGTTACCCTGCAGGGTGCGGTGGGGTGCTCTTCCCCCCCTTTCCTGCTGGCACAGAGCTACTCACGAACGTGCTGGGAACACGGGCGGCCAGTCGTGCCCGTGTGGCTCCTGCTTAGTGACCTGCTGCACAAGCTGTGGGCTCCAGAACAACTCACGAGCTGGGTAATGTGTTACAAACAACACAGACTCTGTCTACCTAAGTTTTTGTCCAACAAATTCGTGCAGACGCCACGACGACACAAGGCCCTTCCTCTTGCAGAGACTCAGGGATGGGGCCACCCACTGTCCCCACAACACAAGGCCCTTCCTCTCGCAGAGGCTTGGGACAGGGCCACCCACTGTCCCCACCACGAGACTCTCCTGCAGAGGCTTGGGGACGGAGCCACCCACTGTCCCCGTGGCTCCCGGTCAGGACCACCGCAGAACCCCCAATGTCAAAGCCCAGCTCTCTGTAAGATCGCTCCTCACATGTGGCCACGTGGCTGGGAAAGAAACCGCAACTCTCCCAATGGCCTGGGAGCTTCGACAAGGCTTTTAATGACAAAAAAGCGAAAACCAGTAAAAAGCTTGGATTCAAAAAGTTTAATTTCATTACAATTGTTTTTAAGGTCAGCTATGATCTTGACAAATTTCATGGGTAAGTATATAGCAAGTCTCCAATTTCCAGAATACAAAAAACAATAAATATAGATTCAAACTCCCCCTAAAAACCAGATGCTACATCTAGTGAGCTGTGCCGCAGCTCAGGGCCAGTGCTTTTCACATGCGTGACCCCGAAGATGCTACAAACTCCTACCACGAAGGACCGCCCACACCTGCCCACTCGTGGTTCTGCAGGGACGGCCCCTCTGTCCCCACGGCTCTGGTCCTTCCCGGTGAGGCAGGTGCAAGGGACACGCTGACAAATACCGAGCCAGCGGGACACAGAGCCCACAGAGAAGCCCTACTTCTGTCTTGAGCCAAAAGGGACGTCACTGTCCGTCTGTCCTCTGCTCTGTGGCACACGCTTCCCCGGCACAGAACAGCCAGCTCATCACGCCGAGCGTCCCATTCGGAGAGCCAACTCCAATCCTTCATCTCCCTCCAGAACATTCCACGTTGCTTTCAAGTGACGTTGTCAGCAAAGTCTTGTGAAATGTTTGCCAAAAACAACCACGTCACTTCTTACTCATAAGAGAATAATTCTTCAGAAACGAAAACTGCAGTTTCAGGCCAAGCTCCTCTGTCTGGGCTTAATCCTCGGGTACAGCTGCAAGAGAGCGGAGAACCCATTTTCATGCCGGGGAGACACAACCTCCAGGACGTGGGGCTGGTATCACAGAAAGGAAGGAAGAAAAGGACTCTCTGCCACATGAGACACCAGCGCCGCCCAGGACACCAGATTCACATTTAGCAACTCCCCCGCCAAGTCACGGGGGGGGGCGCAGAGCACCAGCCTCACCCACGTGGCCTGCGGCTTCCCGAGGGGATGGGAGAGGCTGGGGTCTCCTTTAGCCTCACTCACCACGGCCCCAACTCCACGACAGGATACTGTGAGCGACGGAACGCCGCGGACCACAAGTCTACCGATTTCAGGGAGGACAAGTGGAGGTTTTGTCTGGGGGTTTTCGTGACTGTGTTTTCCAGAACAAGAGCTGGGGAGGAGAAGAGGAGGCCCGCGGCCCCGAGGCCAAGAGCCAGTCCAACCAGCAACCCAGCTGGCGCAGCAAACCAGCTCTCGGCCGCCGCCCCCCGCCTCTGCCTCCTGCACAAAGGGAAGAAAACCTTCACTGAAGGACAGCGGAGTCAGACTTGCAGCCAAAACTGAAACGGGATCCATATCACACACAAGACTGTTTTTCTGAGGAAACAACTGACCAATACAATTTTCTAGACTCAAACTTGAACCACTGATTAAAAACTCAGCATTTCTGGGGCGCCTGGGTGGCTTAGTCGGTTAAGCGTCCGACTTTCGCTTGGGTCATGATCTCGCGGTTCGTGGGTTCGAGCCCCGCGTCGGGCTCTGTGCTGACTGCCAGCTCGGAGCCTGGAGCCTGTTTCAGTCTGTGACTCCCTCTCTCTCTGACCCTCCCCTGCTCGCGCTGTTTCTCTCTTTCTCTCCTAGAAATAAATAAAACATTAAAAAAAAATTTAAAAAAAAAAAAAAAAAACTCAGCATTTCTGTGATTTCCATTTTTTTTTTTTTTTAACTCAAAGAAAACCAAGAGACGTTACTTGGAGGCCACTTTTACCCTGGAGAGACCTCCAGAGGCTGGGAGGAACACGACCATCTCCGACCACGAGCACCTTCCAGGGCCCGAGCACCCAGGCTGGTGGCCTTTGGGGCAGGGGTGCCACCCGTTCAGGAGTCACAGGACGTCTTAGACAATCACAACGCAAGATTCAAACAAGTAATTAATTCTAAGAGGTTTTCAGAAGCAGGAAACTACAAAAGGTCAAACTTATTTGCCGCTCAGGGTCGGCAGGGAGGCGGCAGCAGGGACTCGATCTGGACGGAACTCTGGTCTGGTTGCTGGAAAGCTCATTTAAAGGGCTCCACGGGGGGTACCTGGGGGGACTAAGTCGGTTGGGCATCTGACTTTGGCTCAGGTCATGATTTCACGATTCATGGGTTCGAGCCCCGCGTCGGACTCTGTGCTGACAGCTCAGAGCCTGGAGCCTGCTTCTGATTCTGTGTCTCCCTCTCTCTCTGACCCTCCCCTGCTCCTGCTGTCTCTCTCTCTCTCTCAGAAATAAATTTTAAAAATTAAAAAAAGAAAATTTTTAATAAATAAATAAAGGGCTCCATGGCCAGGGCACCTGGGAGGCTCAGGTCATGACCTCACCATTAGGGAGTTCGAGCTCCACATCGGGCTCTGTGCTGACAGCTCAGAGCCTGAAGCCTACTTTGGATCTTGTGACTTCCTGTCTCTCTGCCCCTCCCCTGCTCATGCTCTGTGTCTCAAAAAAAGGAAAACCATAAAAATCTAAAACAATAAAGGGCTCCAAGGCCGAGTTTACTTTAACTTTCAACAGTCCTCTGTAATTTACACCAGGATCACATGCGTGATTACGGTCCAGGCCTGAAGGTTTACTTAATGACACTGTGACCAGGGGGCAGCAGTCAGGATCCACATGGTCATCCACATGGGACGTGAGACAGAGGCACGGCCAAGAAGGGTTGGAATCCAGGCAGCTAGCTCCCAACACCAGGGTCGCTCGGCAGAGTGACACTGGGGCAGCGCTCACACGCACAGCCCCGGCTCCGTGTCACTCAGACTGCGTGGCTCCGACGTGATGAAAAACCTGTAGAAACCTGTCCCCCTTGCTGCCCATCAGACGCCCCACAGTCTCAGGAGGTGGTGCCCTCCGGTCCCTCTGGCCTCACCCAGGTCACCCTGGCAGCATGCAGGGGTGGAGGGGGCCGCCGTGGGAGCCACGCTGCTGCCCGTCCCCTCCATGGCCAGGCTCTTCTACCTTCACACTCTGTCCTCGCCCTCCGTTACCCCTCCTGCCCCAGCACCCGGCTCCAGTCCAAGGTGCCCACCCCGGGCCAGCCCCGCATCCCACGAGGAGCACAGGACCTCTCAGGGCACGGGACCCGGACCTCAGAGGCTCGCAACGTGGAGAGTGTGGCTCAATGCTCAAACCCGCCACCGCCCCAACGGGAAGGATTGCCGCACAGGCGCACTTACCCCCAGCAAGTTGCGCGGCACGTAGCCTTCCCGGTCCTGCAGGCGCGCCCACCACCACTCGGTCTCCTCCTCGTCCTCCCGGCGCAGCACCGCCATGCAGTCACCCTCCCGCAGGGGCAGCTCGTCACTGTGCTGAGGCTCGTAGTCCCACAGTGCGTACAGGACCCCTCTGTTCATGATGCCCATCTTCTCCTGCACTCCTGAAACCGCGAGAGAGTAGGTCAGGGCCCGATGCCTGACAGACACCATCCCCAGCTCACCCTCCCCAGGCCCGGAACCTCCCTTCCCTGGGACCCCGTTGGCCGGGTCTCAGGAGAGGCCCCTTGGGGTCACACGCAGGGGCAGGGCCGCGGCGCGCTCGGGGGCACGTGCACAAAGGCCGCGCTCACCCTGCCTACAGGGCTGCCCTGTGCCTGACAGCCAGGTCTGTGGAGGACACACGGATGCCTTCCCAGGCGCTAAAATCACTTGGCAAACCACACCCCAACGACTGCGGGCAAACTGAGGCAGCGAGGCCCGTGCGGGACGGGGCAAGCACGCACCATAGAGGAACTGCGAGCACTGCGTGTAGCCCTCCTCCATCTCCTCGCACTTGTCGGCCGCGGTCTGCATGTCGCTGTAGGTGGTGGCAAACACGGCGGCTCCGGACTCCACCAGGAACTTACACACCTGCACGTTGTTGCAGGAGGCGGCGCAGTGCAGCGGTGTCCTGCGGGGACACGCGGCAAACGGGGCTGGGGTGCCTTCCATGCACACGACCCCAGAGGGGTCGGTGCTCTGGGCCTTTCTCCCAGACCCACTTACATGCGTTTTCAAAAATCAGTTAAACGTGGGGCGCCTGGGGGCCTCAGTTGGTCGAGTGTCTGACTCTTGATTTCAGCTCACGTCATGATCTCGTGGTTCATGGGATCAAGCCCCATGTCGGGCTCTGTGCTGACCGCGTGGAGCCTGCTTGGGAGCCTCTCTCCCCCTGTGCCCCTCCCTCCCTCTTGCATTCCCTCTCTCAAATAAAAACAGTATCAGCTACACACAGACATGTGAACACACAAACACTGATGGCCACAAAGGAACACGTTGTGTGTGGGCCACGCTGGGTGCGTGTGGGGTGGTGCGGAGGGCGGGGGGAATTAAGGACATAAGCGAAGGATGGGAGACTCGTGAAATAACCTACAACAGGGTCAGATGTGCCCAGGTCCGTGTTCTGGAACACCTGCCTAGTTAGTGCCAAACTCCACACCCGGCTGCACCGGACTGGAGGGCACGGCCGCCTTCGCGTTGTAGGCCTGCACTCGAAACACGGGACTTTATGTGTTCCTTTATTGTCACCGCTTCCGAAGAAATTAGGCTGCATGTGGAAAACTACCTTTACTAAACAGCTTTTAAAATCCAAATTGAATTTTAATTGTGAAAAAAACAAAAGCCCTGGTTAGTTCAATGCAGACCAGATCAGGGAGTTATGGACACCCTACGGAGAGCCCCTCCAGCACCTTGGATCTTTGCAGTGTGCATTAGGTGACCCAGACTAATGAAGGAGGAAGAGGACCCAGTGCCACGGCCCAGCTCAGACGTGGACTGGAAAATGCAGACGTGGCGCCGAAGTGCATCACCGTCTCCTCCCTCCCCTCTCTTCAGGCCTCCTGAGGTCACAGTCTCCAGAAACAACGTATTCCCATCCCGCAGCCCCGGACACAATCGCTCACAGTGTGCTACTACTACATAATTTGTTAAGTGTGTCATTTTAAAAATGAAGAATTATATAAAAACTCCTAATAAAAGGGAAACAAAGACACTATGACACATTAAGAATTTGTTTTGGGAGTGGCCAGCTGACTCAGAGGAACATGCGACTCTTGATCTCAGGTCGTGAGGTCGAGCCCCACATTGGGAATAGAGATTACTTAAAAAATTTGTTCTGCTTACGTTGTAAAGTTAAATCAAAGAATGAGGCTGAAACATATATGCATACGTAAGCTTGAAGGGAATATACTTAAAACTCGTGGTGTTGACCTCTGCCTCATGGGGTACGGATGGTTTGTTTATCTCATGTCCCTTTTTCACACATCTTCCACAGGCATACACGGTGCTTTTACATATGTAATTTTTAAACACTGCAACTGAAATGCTCTGTAACAAACAGCTGGGGAACGAGCTAGGTGACGAACAAGAGGGAGAGTGACCCCACAAGAGGACACGGCAGTGTGGGGCTGCTTGTTTGTGTGTGCGCGCGCACGCGCATGTGTGTGCCCGTGACCTACACCTGTGCCCAGGTCCCCATGTCCTTGTACAGCCACTTACCACGTTAACAGAAAAATAGGCTATAAAAATATCCACATGAAGATCTTAGTGTGACTTCAGCTTTTTAAAAACCCTGTACAGGGGCGCCTGGGTGGCTTAGTCGGTTAAGCGTCCGACTTTCGCTTAGGTCATGATCTCGCAGTTCGTGGGTTCGGGCCCCGCGTCAGGCTCTGTGCTGACTGCCAGCTTGGAGCCTGGAGACCATTTCAGAGTCTGTATCTCCCTCTTTCTCTGACCCTCCCCTGCTCACGCTGTCTCTCTCTCTCTCTAGAAATAAATAAAAATATTAAAAATAAATAAAGGAAAACCCTGTACAGAAAAAAACAAAGTCTTCCAGAAAAGTACATATTGCAAATTAAAACTTTCATTTTCCAAAAAAAAGAAGAACTTTTCTCTGTTCTATGAGCGCTACCAGGACCGACGGCCCCTCATCAGGACCTGAGCGTCGCTGTGTGACACGATCTGCTACCGTATGACGGACACTCATCACCTACAATAGTGCCTCCTGGGCTCTACCCACGTAAACCACTTCACAAAATGCTCAGTGAAATTTGGAGTCCATGGTCACGTGTATTTGGGAAGGGCTACAAACTAGGACCCCCTCGTGCAGACGTGCAGTGGACATCAGTACATGACAGAGGTTTCGGGGTGAAGGGACCTTGCTTCAATCAGCATCTCTCAAATCATTCAGGTCTGCTAGCTGCAGGCGGCTCTGTGACACTTCTCACTTTTATTACTTAAGTACTAAACTTCAACACTCCGTGTGCCCAGAATGGGAACGAGAGGGGAGTCTGGCCACAAGTGGCAGGCAGAAGCACACACTCATGGCCCGTGCAGGAACACCTGCAGCTGGGGCGGGGTCAGTGAGGACCTTACCATCCGTCGCTGTCTGCGGCATTTACATTCACACCGAACTGCACCAGGAACTTCACGATTTCGGTGTGGCCCGCGCACACGGCATTGTGAAGGGCAGTGATGCCCTCATCGTTGGGCAGGCTTGGGTCTTCAACCTGCGTCATCGAGAAGGGTGACTATCACTCACCATTCAGATCACTGTCAGCCAGCTCTCCCGGGTCAAGAGAAGAGAAACAGCCTCTGGTGGTTATTTTTTCCCCATCATAATTAAAACCTCCAGGGGCCAAGAAAACTCTACCAAGAGTGAGTCTGGAAGCGAGGCCGGCGGGAGAGCAGCAGTAAGCAGGCGCTCGCTATAAAAAGGCTCTTACCCAGGAAGAGGGGCCAGAGACTCCACCCTCACAGTCACTGAGGTTTACTTACCTTCCGACTCCCCACCACAAATTAGTGTCTAAGGACAAGGTGCCATTTACCATGGAAAACAGGTCAACTAAAAATATTTTCAATAGCAGGCTTCTGAGAAGTAGGGACACACCTGCAATTTAACCCCGCGCAATCTGGTTCCACGCAGGCTCGGCTGTACACCCTGCACAGTCTGGTCCGGCCTCGTGAGGGCACGGCTGTACAAGAGGGTGACAACCTCCCGGAAAAACGACTCCGGAGGGACCCAAATCTCATGTCACACCTTCCACCGGCCCAGCCTGTCCCGGGGTGTGCTCACAGCCCCTCATCCACACCTCACCGCCGCCCCCACGGGTTAAAGATGCACTTCCTCTATAGCAGCCCTCGGATTAGAGACCGGAAACAGGACACAAGGTCGTTATCATCAAACCATACCTCATAGATAATCCTCTGCACAAGGTCAAACTCCCCCTCCAGAGAGGAGTCCAGGAGCAGTGCGAGGGGGTTGAACTTCACCCTCATGCTGTGGGCGATCCTGTCTGAGCCAGTTTTACGCAGGTTCGTCCTTTTGCCCTGCAGCAGACAGGAGCGAAGTTAGGACCCTGGGCTCAGCACAGAGACGAGGGAAGAGGGGATCGGGGGGGGTGCAAGGGGCTTTACAAACATACACTTGGCACATTTTAGGGATGCGTAACATTTCCAGGCACGGATGTAAATCATAACACACAGCTTAATGACCATGGCCAAATAACAGAGTGCGAAGAACTGAACTGTGTCACGTGTGGGTGACACAGGACACCACAGCCAGAGCGGAGGATGTGACGCGTGATGGTGCGCTGGCCGCTCTGCTGCTGGGCTGAGCACTGGTCTTTGGGTTCCCCATCTAATGGGTGCAGCAAACCCCACAGACAGGCAGGAGCACAGCCCACAGTTCTCCAGGCCGACACGTAATGACCATTCACCGACTCCTCACGAGAACCCATTATCCCGCTTTACAGATCAGGAAACGAGGCACACGGCCAGTGAACATCAGGGCTGGAAGGATCTGGCTTCTTCACTTCCCTCCCTTTCAACCATTTTGTAACAACAAACGGCTGCTTCAGGGCAGGGGACGCAGAATTAAGAAAATAATAAACACGATCTTAGATACACACAGAGGAAACCTTCCAGTCTTAAAATGCCACCACTGCGGTCTACGCAAAGTCTGACTATGCTCCAACTATACCAGTAAGCTACTCAGGCCTTCGATTGTTAATAAGCCAGACTTAAAATACGGAAAATCCACCAAGACTCACTCTAAGAGCCCACAGTGAGTGCCTGGCACACCCAGCCAAGCATTCAGCAGAGGCACGCCATGCTAGAGAGCTGGTGAGGAGGAGACAGTGCTGGAGAACTGGAGGGGGAGGAGACAGGTGGCCTGTACTCCACTCCACAAATGCTCAAGGACGAAGATGTTGTTTCTTGGAAAAGGCAGTGTAACCCCACCCCCCCCCCCACAGCGGTGCAGAGGGCCCCCGTGCCCACTTGCAAACAAGCACAGGTGCTCCAGTGTCACTGGAACCCAAGCAAGGAGATGGCTCCCCCAGGACAAGGGTAACAGATGTTAGAGAGAAAGGCATGACACGGTCACAAGCCGCGGTCTCTCCATCCCTGAGAGGACGAATCATTTTGACTTGATGACCAAGGGGTGTGGGGGAAGGGGAGGGGCAGCAAAAGCAGATGTGAACCATCTACATTAGTTGGGGGAAACTGCATACTGGGACGGGCGGGGCAGAGTGGGCTCAAGGTCAACCTTGACTCAAACCTTTTCCCCTAGAATCCAATGTTTGCGTATAAATCTTTTTAACAAAATCCAAATGTCTACAGTAACCAGTAGTTAGAACAATTCTGGATAATCATTATCCTTGATGACCAGGACATCTCACAGGTGGCTCATATGCACAAAGTGCTAAAAAAATCCCTACAATAGGCTATTCTGCTTTTTTTTTATTTTTAGAATGTATGAGAGGAGCAAGAGCAGAGAGAGAGAAGCAGAGACACAAAGAGAAGCAGAGAGAGAGGGAGGAAGAGAATCCTAAGTAGGCTCCGAGCTGTCAGCACAGTTGAACTGGGAGATCGTGACCTGAGCCGAAGCCAAGAGTCGGATGCTGAACCCAGGGAGCCCCCCCCATGCCCCTCACTATTCTGTTTCTAAATAGGTTTTAAAAACCCATAGTTTGGCACCTATAGTAACAAAATGACTCCAATTACACTCCGAAAAGGTCACTTTATCTATGGGCCTCTCACCTACCTCCATGTTACACAACAAACCTTCGAACCAGGGAGGAACATTCAGAAGGGGTGGCGTGTTAAGACGTGCCCAAGTCAAAACCCACGAAGTCTCAGAGCAGCTGAATGGTGCACTCAAGGGCACCTGCGGGGTTCCCAGGCTCTGCAGGGATTTTTGGACTCCATGGAGGGGAGGAAGAGGCTTCAGAAGGTGCCCAGCTATTCCTGCCCCAGTTCGTGCAGGGCCCATCCCAGTCTGTCCGGGGCGGTGGGGGGGGGGGAGGAGGTGGGGACGGCGCGCAGTTCCACATACAGGTTCAGGAAAGCTACACTCCACTACTACAGAAAGACGTCTGAAGCCGCAGCCTCGCAGGGACGAGAGGCTGCTCGACTCTGCGGAGCCAACCGCGTGATGACGTGTCAGAGCCACGTCTTTCCATTCCCAGCCTCACGCAGCTTCCATAACGGGACCAAATGCAGGTGAGGAAGAAACGAGTGTGGTTTGTATTCCAAAAAACCCAACTCTGATTCTCAACAGAGAAAAGGGCTCTTCCTAAAATAAAGGTGTTCTTGGGGCACCTGGGTGGCTTAGTCGGTTGGGCATCTGACTTCGGCTCAGGTCATGATCTCACTGTTGTGAGTTTGAGCCCCGCGTCAGGCTCTGTGCTGATGGCTCAGAGCCCGGAGCCTGCTTCGGATGCTGTGTCTCCCTCCCTGCCCCTCCCCAACTCACACTGTTTCTCTCAAAAACAAACAAACAAAAATTATAAAAAGTAAAGATGTTCTTCATTCTGAATATACTTAATTTGTAAGACACTTACAAGACGCGCTGCATGCTAAGAGGCTGGGAAATAAAAGGTGAGCCGCAGACGTTTGCCACCCTGGGCAAAAAAGGCCCCAGCCCCCAGCGGTGGTTCACGGAGCTCTGACAGGTGGAAGACTGTGACAAGGTGGGGGCACCCGAAATGACCAGGTGACACCACACTACTTACGGGAGGGAGAGAGACCTGCCCCGTGATCTCAGGGGGACGCAGGCTGCCAGCGTCGTCTCCGGGCCCCTCGGGCTCCCCGGATGGGTAGGGTGGGGGCGGGTACGGAGGGTACTCCTCCAGGTACACCTCCAGTGGGTGCGGAGCCTCAGCGCTAGGGTCCTCCGCGCAGCTGTGGAAACGCAGGCTGCTGTCTGGGACTCCTTCGGGCACACAGTCGGGGCCCGGGGAAGGGACTGGCGTGTCACTGCTCTCTGAGCCGGCGCCCCCCACTTCCTCTGGGGACACTGGTTCGGGGGCCACAGAGACCGCCTCCTTCTCTGGCTCCACGTGCAAGTACGGGTTCTGGATTTCTCCTGGGCCCTCCGAGTCGGCAGCCCCCGGAGTCGGCTTAGACGGATACGAGGGGACAGAGATGGTCTCCATGGCAGCAATGGTGGTCCTCTGGTACAAGAGCTTCTGGATATTCGGCCCATTTGGCCCCTCTGGCTCTGTGATGGAGCTCCGCTTCTTTAGTGGCCGTGGGGCGTTAGACAGTTTCTTCCGCAGGGCTTCCAAGTCAGCGTCGCTCTGGTTCCGGTAGGGGTTGGACAGGAATGGCAATAATTTGGTGGGGCTGAGCGGTCGAGGAATTCGTTCGTTCTCATGGTTCTCATGCACTGGTGCCCCAGGCTCCGGCTCTGGCTCAGGACTGCCGGGCTCAGCCGGGCTGCCGGAGTACACGTTCTCGGGCTGCTGCTGGCTCTGCGCGGCGGCCAGCACGGGCTTGCCGTAGACTGAGGGGAGAACGGGAACAGAGCCCTGGTTAGCATTTGGTAAAACCCAGCTAACAATAACTATAGCGTCTTTTAATGTTCCAGTCGCCACCCAGGACCGTTCAACACGACTGATTTTTACACCCAACCAAGGCTGAAGCGAGGCTTCGTCTCCAGCGTGGTAAATGTCTGATGGGAGGAAAGCCCTCACTGAGTAGCGTTTTATGTGCCGGCAGAGATGCCGTCCTTGCAGCTCTAAGCCATCACCCACTGTCGCGTACAAACTTAAAATCAAAATACGAAAACAGAGTAAAGCAATGGAGACTGGTAATACTCTCCCGTGTGCACATCAGAAGGAAGCCTACACTGCCCTCCCTCAGACTTTTCAAAGGTAAACCCACGTGGGAAATCGTATTTGGCTTCCCAAGTTCTCAAGAACCACTTCTATTTGCTGAAACTAGTCCCCTTATCATTCTGACTAGATCTACGCTTTCCAATTCCCAACCCCCTGTGTCTGCGGGCCTCTCTAATGACAAGAGCCTGCTGCAGCACGTGCGGGAATCCTCTGCTTCGGATCGCTTTTGGGCCACATCGAGCCACACTTAACAGGCTCATTTCGTGACTGGAAAGCCAATTTCATTCCATTACCACAGGGTGAACTTTATTCTAGTTTTATAAACTAATGGCTCTTAGAACTCAGCAGATTACCAGATCGTAGATCTTTTTATGTTTTTATATTTAACTAGCAGCTGTGTGCTCATTAGAACAACTTCAAATATAGTAAGGAGCGTCATTTCAAAAAGCACGCAGGGGCAGCTGTGCAGGCCGCCTCGCACAAGGCCACGAAGTCTGACCTGCAGCCAGGATGCGGCCCGGTGCGCTGTGCCCGCCTGGCTCACGAGCCTCTGGGGAGCAGGGAATAAGGGCATGCAGTCACCACCTCACAAAGGCTGTATCTGCCGTGGGTTCTAGTTGTCCACCACCTCTGACCCCCCCCAGCACCTACTGCGGGGCTGACGTTTGGCAGGAATCTTTTTAAACTCCCGATTAAAATCTGAACTCTGAGAACAAAGCCACATTGCCGTGGACTGAGAGAGGACCGCTCTGGGGAGGACCTGATCACGCCCCCGCGCCCGGAAACCCGGTCCAGCAGCTCACCGCTCGAGAAGTGCGGGCCTCTGGAATGGGTCTTGGTCAGCGCGCTCTGCACCGCCTGCTGGAAGTTCTTCCCGGGCGCCTGGTGCTGCGTGTACATGGAGTATATGGAGCTCGCGGCCACGGTCTGGGGCTTCCTGAAGGGCGGAGGAGGGGCATCCTTGGAAGGCTGTGGAGTGAAGGGCCGCACAGCAGCCGCAGGCGGACTTTCCTGCTTACAAGCTGGAGCGAGGGCCGGGCCCTGGCCAGCGGAAGACGCGCCGGGCGACAACAGGCCCCTCTGCTGTCCTGAGGTTTTCGGTTTATTTCCCACTGATCCGAGCACTGCGGCTGACTGCTGAGGGCTTCCATCTGGCTTAACGTCTGGTGGTGACGGATTAGTTTGCCCAAAATAAGGCAAATTAATCTGTTTTGGTTTTGATGGAACGGGAGGCGGTACTTTTGCCACATTTTTATTTGCAGCCTGTAACACACACACGCACAAATCAGTTAAAACATATATAAATGGGCACACAGAATGTTCTAGACTTGCAGCCTGCAACACGTGCACATGCAAAACCAGTTAAGACACGGTCTGAATGGGTGCACGGGATGTTCTAGACCACCTCACTTCGCCACTGTGAGTTATACTAAAAACACTAGCTCTGTTTTTTGTTTTTTTTTTTAATTTTTTTAAAAATGTTTTTTATTTCTGAGAGAGAGAGAGAGAGAGAGAGAGACAGTGTGAGCAGGGGAGGGTCAGAAAGAGAGAGATACAGAATCTGAAGCAGGCTCCAGGCTCTGAGCTAGCTGTCAGCACGGAGCCCGACGCGGGGCTCAAACCCACAAACTGTGAGATCGTGACCTGAGCCAAAGTTGGATGCTTAACCTACTGAGCCACCCAGGCGCCCCACTAGCTCTGTTTTTAAATCACCAGAAGTTTTAAATCTCTGAACTTAACCACATTGAATAAGGAAGTTCAGGAATGCAATACCACCCCTGCCCCCAAGCGATTCCGCCTTGCTGCCACTTCCAATGTAGGAAGCCCTGGGTGCCCACAGAAACCTTAACTGCAACCCCACATATCCAGACCGCCCCCATACTGGAAAGCCCCATGCTCCTGAGGAGGGACACAGGGCAGCCGTGGCGCTACAAGCACTCCTGCCTCGGCGCATGCCATGAGTGGCCGTCGGGGGCCGTGGGCTAACACACCAGGTTCCCCACCAGATCATCACGGACAGAACCCCGGCTCCCAATTCGGAAGAAACAAGGTAACTGAGGCACATGATATGATGCTCTTCGATGCACCCATGGTTTTTTAGAGGATCACAAGAAACAGGAGCCGGCCACAGGCAAAGCAGCCACTCTCCAACATGGCGTGAGACCACAGATCTACCTAAGCTGCAGAATTTACAATCGCTGAGTTCTGTTCCATTTTCTAATCCTGCAGATACACTCTGGTTTGCTGTCCTGCTCTCCCTCACACGCTACGCTCTCTTCCGAGGAGCGGGATGGGTCACGCAGCGGCTGTTAACCCTGAGCTTCCCTTACACACCTGAGCATCCCGCAAGATGTCCTCGCTGCTCTGGTTTTTCCTCAGGGCCCCACAGGGGGCCGGGCCGGCTGACTGGTCCACTGAATCCAACATGGAAAAGGGGCGAACTTTCTTCTCCTTCTCTCTCAGGGGAACCTCTCCATCATCCACTGGAAATAGGGGGGAAAAAAAAAATCACATGGATATTCAAGTCTGTTTATCATACAACTTCTTTTTCACATTAAGTTTCTCTCTCTTCAATATCTCTGAAACTCTGTACCCACTAAATGCTTTATTTTTAATCGGATTTAAAGAATAACCCAGATGCTCTCGTGCTGGTACTTTAGTCCCCAGGCAAATGAAGTGCTCAGGAAGTAAATACTATCCCCAGTGTCAACACATGGGAAAACTAGAGACCAGAGAGCTGCAAGAACATGCATGACCCCACCTTGTCCCCACCCTGGTCCCCACCTTGGTCCGGGGCCCGCCCAGAGCTGGCAGGTGCAGGCCCAGAGGGCTGGCTCGCAGTGACGTCTGCACTTGGGGGGCTCCAGTCAGGGCCGAGGGGATGGATTTTAGAGCCTAGAATACAGAAAAGCATCCCCGGGTAAGCCGGCACTGTCAAGACACTCAGTTCTAACGGCTCCATTGCCGCAGGGAAGTGTAATCTCTAAAAACAGCTTCAAGGGGCACCTGGGTGGCTGAGTCAGTTAAGTGTCCAACTTCGGCTTAGGTCATGATCTTGCAGTCCCTAAGTTTGAGCCCCACATCGGGCTATGTGCTGACAGCTCAGAGCCTGGAGCCTGCTTGGGATTCTGTGTCTCCCTCTCTCTCTCTGCCCCTCCCCTGCTCACTCATTCTCTCTCTCTCTCAAAAATAAACATTACAAAAAACTTAAGAAATAATAATAACAAAAACAGCTTCATATATCAGACTTACAACAATCCCACTAAACTTACTTAGAAAAGTAACTTTATATTTCAAAATTAAACTTAAACTATTTAAAATTAATCACAGCAAGCAAAAAATCTGCTGGGAACAGTGAGGACACACTACACATCAATGGTAAGAAACGAAATGGTCGGGGCGCCTGGGTGGCTTAGTCGGTTAAGCGTACGACTTTCGCTTAGGTCATGATCTCGCGGTTCGTGGGTTCGAGCCCTGCGTCGGGCTCTGTGCTGACTGCCAGCTCAGAGCCTGGAGCCTGTTTCAGTCTGTGACTCCCTCTCTCTCTGACCCTCCCCTGCTCACGCTGTGTCTCTCTCTCTCTCCTAGAAATAAATAAATAAAACAAAACAAAACAAAAAAAGAAACGAAATGGTCACCATTTCACTGAGAGAACGAACTCGGCAGCCCCAGGGCTCGGGGAGACAAAAAGGCAGAGCTATGGACAGATCGGCGCCCTCAGATGTTCTCTACACAGACCTGAAGCGTCAAGGCTTTGTCCCCATAGAAGCAAAACAAAAGGAGCTCTTTCTACTATAGTAACACCCACACTGGGCAGCCCTAACGATTCACGCTGGTGATTACGGCAAAACAATAGTGATTGTGAGGCTGGCGGTCCCCTGCAAGTGACAGCGGTCAGACCACACTGGCTGCTCCCTTCTTGCAGGGAGGGGTTTGATGAGAAGGTCTAGAAGGGACGTTTTCACCCTGCTTTTCCTACAGCCCTCCCTTCATCTGCTCCTCCGGCCGTGACACTCTGGCCTGCACCTCCGCACGCACCTGAGGACTGCCCCGAACGCCAACATCACTGGCACAGGGAGCCTGTTTCGTTCACTGTAAGCTTCCAGTACGTTTAACTTTTCTGCTACAGATTGCTAGCAAGCAAAGTCTAGTGCATAAGCAGGTGTGGCAGCACACACACCTCTGTTCAGAACACACTCACCACCACACCCTCTGTAAACACAGCAGCACTGCCCACATATGGGTTTTTTTCAGAAAAAGTTGTCAGGTTTTTGACGTCAGATCAAAATCTCTATTAACGAGAAGGAACTGACAACAATTTTCACTGCAAAAATACTACATTTCACTTCATTTCCAAAAAGAACCATATCATTTAGGATTAAGAAACTTATCCCTGCACCAGCAAAAACCACAAGGAGGTTAACATTTCTACAGGAACAAGGGACAGAAAGACATTTTTAAAACCCCCCAGCTGGGGGAAGGACAATGGGGACGGGGAGCGAGAGCTGCAGAAGGGCTGGGGGGGAGGGGAACAGGGCCTCGCATCACCTTTGTTCTGGGCAGCAGCGGACCGCGGGGTGGGCAGCGTGCGCACTCGGAGCTGCCCCTCCGAGGCCTGCAGGGCCATGGGGCCGTCCGGCAGAGCGGGCTTCACCACGAGTTCTGGCCTCGAGGGGACACGGGGCATCGTGGACGACTGGATGTAGGGGCCCACGGCGGCCACGCGACTGGGTGGTGGCAGCCCCTGCGGAGGCAGGGCTCCGTCAGACGAAACCTTTGGAAGAGGCACAGGACCTTCAGCGTGATGGCCCGACGCATTGAGCTCAGAAAGGGCTGGGACGCCTCAGGGTGATGTTTACAGGTCGGCACTTTCAGGGTCTCAGGCCAGAGGTAGGAGACATGTCCCAAGCCACTGACGGCCCAGCAGGGTCCGCTCTGCCCCCCGCCCCCGCCCCCCGTGCCCTGGAGGTGGCCCACCTACCGGGGGGCCCTCCTTGTGCTGCAGTGCCGCCTTCTTCTTCCACAGCCGGTCCCGCAGCTCGTTGACACGCTTGTCCATGACGGCCACCTCTGAGTTGCGCTTGTTCAGACACTCCCGCTGCTGCTGCAGCTTGGCATTCTGCTCCTGATTCAGTCTGTTCCGTAGCTGAATAGAATTGGGGGGCAGGGAGCAAGAAGAAACAGTACTCAAGGGGGTGGCCAAGGAGCAAGAGGAAACAGTTCTCAAGGGGGTGGCCAGGGAGCAGGAGGAAACAGTTCTTGGGGGGCAGGGAACAGGAGGAAACAGTTTTTGGGGGGCAGGAAGGAGGAAACCGTTCGGGGGGGGAGCAGGAGGAAACAGTTCTCAGGGGGGTGGCCAGGGAGCAGGAGGAAACAATTCACGGGAGGGGGGCAGGAGGAAACCGTTCTGGGGGGGGAGCAGGAGGAAACAGTTGTCAGACTGCTTCCCTCCTCTGTGAGATCTAAAACCATCAGGTCCCTCTGCCCACCACCGTCCCCTTCCCAGTTTCAGGTGAAGGGTCAGCCCACTGGCTGTGGTCGCGAGGAGACCTCAGACCTCCCGTGTGGGGCGCTCTGACATGTGTCCTGTGCTCCCCCCCCAGCCTAGGTAAAGCCACTGCCCCGAGGGCCCGGCTCACCTGTAGCTCCTTGTAGAGGCGGTCGAGCTCGGCCGCAGCAGACCTGCTGTCGTGGCGGCCGTCCAGCCGGCCATTCTTGAGCACCTCCAGCTGCCTGCTCAGCTCCTCCACGCGGGACACGGCCAGAACGAGCTCCCGCTGCTTCTGCTGGAACAGGCTATTCATCTGCTCGATCTCCTCCACTGGAAGGACAACAGGGACGGTGACCCGAGTTGAACAGAAACCCAGAACGGAGCGCTCCCAGGCAACCGGGCCTTGCGACCGGCCTCGGGACGCAGCGCGGGCGCTCCCAGACACGGCCCGGAACCGCTTTCACAGGCAGCTGGGATCGGCAGGCTCGCTTCTGAAAGAGCCTCTCTCTCGACACGTCTCTGGCAGGGCCATATCCAGAGCGTTACTCAACGGCACACTTGGGCAACGATGAGGCTTATTTAGAGCTTTGAATCTCGCTTTATGAAAGCCGCAGAGGGAGTCGGTAACTCAGTGAAATTTGAATTCAGTGGTACTATAACAGACAGACCTATTCTATGAATAAAAACCCTACACATCAAACTTCCAGTCAAAAAGTACTCACAGGAAAAACAAACAAACAAACAACTAGGACGTTTTCCGAAAGTGCAGCCGAATTCTGGTCCCGGGAACCGAAGGCGTCAACAATGCAGGGAATTCCGCCTTTAACAACTCGGAAGTGCCTGCGTGCAGTCGCCGGCCCGCCCGAGTCCCCCCAGGCCCCTCACCGAGCCGGCCGTTCCGCAGCCTCTTCTGCTCCACGTGGCCGCGCAGCGCCCGCACCTTCTTCAGCTTCGCCTCCTGGCTCTCGGCCACCTCCCTCAGCCTCTGCAGCTTCTCCTGCTCGGCCGCCTGCTGCTGCTGCCGCTCGTCCTGCTGCTTCAGGAACTTCAAGCGCTGCTCCTGAAGGCATGGGCGGTGTCAGGCGGCCTTCCTGGCAGGGGCGCCGGCGCCCAGAAGGAACCAGGGCCCAGCTGGTGACACGCCCCTCCACTCCCCCCCCCCCCCCCCCCCCCCCTGGCCCTGCGTTCTCGTGGGGACAAGGCCCGGGAAGGAGCGTTCTTGTCCCCGTGGTTTCCACGCCACCAGCGGGCAGCGACCGGGACCAGCCTCAGAGCCGCAGCTGCAAGGTCAGGAGAAGCTCCCACAGGACGAGGATCCGCTATAGGCACGGGGGGGTGGAGCTGGATGTGGACCCCCGCCCCACACGCTGCCGCTTGCGGGCTCCACACCTGTGCAAATCGCACAACCTCATAACCTCGTGCCGCCTTCCTCGGCTCAACAGTGGGGTGACCAGCGAGGAGGGAGACGTGAAATCTTCTCGCACAGGGCCGCGCACAGCTAGTGCACACTCAACACACACACTTAGGGAAGAGCCGAAGAACCACTTAACACTCTAGAAAACCACAGCGTAACATTTTCTATTATACTACTTTTTTAACCAAAACCAAGTAACAGAGCCACACAATTTATAATCAAGAGTAAACTTCTTGGGTTAATATGCCTGAAACGTATAAGTAACACAAAACAGTTTCAAAATAAGACCCCAAGATTAAAGGTTTATTCTATTACTCAACCTATTTTTATCTATCAGCACAGAGCCTGCCGTAAGACTTGAACTCATGACCTGTGAAATCATGACCTGAGCTGAAATCAGGAGTCAGACACAACCAACTGAGCCAACCAGACGCCCCAGAACATGCATTTTTAAAAAATGTTTATTTTGAGAGAGAGTGAGACAGTGCACAAGCAGGAGAGGGGTAAGGAGGGAGGGAGAGGATCCCAAGCAGGCTCGGTGTCATCAGTCAGCACACAGCCTGACATGGGGCTCGACTACAAACCGTGAGATCACGACCTGAGCCGAAACCAAGAGTCAGACAATTAACTAACAGAGCCACCCAGGTGCCCCCAAAACATGCATTTTTAGCAAGACTCCTACGTGATTTGTACACAAGTTAAAGTCGACATGATGTTACACTTGATTTTGAAGGTGGTTGCACCTGCCATCAGAGACAGAATTGGATACCTGGGAACTCTAGCAAGTATGACAAAGCGGGCCACAGGGCGCGTTGCTGGGACCTCACACGCCAGACCAATGGTACCCCAGCTCCGGTGAACTTACAGTCACAAAAAGACTGGTCAGGTGCAGACACTGAGTGTGCAGACCTGGGACAGTGGGTGAGATCCAGCCTGCCGTTTTCAGAAGTCTGGTTTTATCGGAACACAGCCACCCATTCGCTTATGTCTATGGCTGATTTTGTGCTACAACCACAGAGCTGAGACAGTTAGGCCTGCAAAGCCCCAGGTGCTGACTCCCAGCCCGCCCCTCTGGAGGAAGAATGGTGATGTCTGGTGTAGACCAGGAGCCCCTGTGGAAGAAGTATGGCGACATCTGGTGTAGACCAGAAGCCTATGGCTGGCAGGACAGGCCGCAGAGAGACCGGTCTGGACAGTTACGAGGCTTCTTAGGTCTCTCACCTGTCCAAGGGCAGCATGAGGAGCAATCTAGGGGGCAGGAGTCTCAAAAGAAGGCAACAGCCTGTCATCAGTGCCACACCCGGAAGGGGACCACGACAGCACGAGTTGACTGTAAAGTCACACTCGCTGTGTATTAATTCAGGACAAGGCCAGCCCAGAGCAGTTCCTACCAGCGACGTCAAAGGGTTCCTTACACTTTTCCTCTTTTATGGATACACAATGTAATGTGGTTAATTCGGCTCAGAATCGGGGGCTCGGAGATCCCGAGCACGGGGGTGATCTAAGGATTTCTAAAAAACGCTTTGGAAAGAGAAGAAAGCACCAGAAGCAGGTACTTGTAGGCTGCATTATCATGGTGTGCGTGTGAGGTGACTGGCTTACAGGGTACGGTGGGAACAGCCTGGCTCACACTACGATGGCAAGGCCGTTCCGTCTTTCACAAAACGAGACGTTACCTTGGTGGCCAGCATCTGCTGCTGGGCCTCGATCTGCTGCTGCTGACGAGACGCCATCTCCTGCAGCTCGGCCAGAGTCAGGTCCATCCTGGGGCTGCTCACCTGCACACAGAGCCACACATGCTGCGGATGTGACAACATGGTCACAGAGGCCCCTCCCTTGAAGGTCTGCCGAAGCTTCACCTGAACCCAGCACAACAATGTAGCCATGTTCTACCATGATATTAAAGAAACCAGTAAGTTTTATATTAATATCCCTGCAATGACTAAGTTTAGATGTAAAACATACTAACAGACCAACACTCTTCAAGTTATATATGTAAAATTATACAATTTCAACAGTGACCAAAATGGAACTACTTAGAATTACCTTGCTCTGTAGTTATCAGAAAAATGCTGTTTGATCACACTGAACATGACATTGGGGCAGCTAACCAGGAATGCCGTCATCAGAATGACCTTTAAAAGTAGGACACAGGCAGGGCCTGGGTGGCTCAGTCAGTGACTTGACCGACTCCTGATTTCAGCTCAGGTCATAATCTCATGGTTCGGGAGTTCGAGCCCCACATTGGACTCCATGCTGTCACAGTGGGAGTCTGATTAGGATTCTCGCTCGCTCTCCTTTTCTGTCTGCCTTCCGTGTGCGCTCTCTCTCTCAAAGCAAATAAACTTAAAAACATTTTTTTTAATATGACACTAGCATTAAAAAACTCAAGGGATTGGGGCGCCTGAGTGGCTTAGTCGGTTGGGCGTCCGACTTTCGCTTAGGTCATGATCTCACGGTTCGTGGGTTCGAGCCCCACGTCGGGCTCTGTGCTGACTGCCAGCTCAGAGCTTGGAGCCTGTTTCAGATTCTGTATCTCCCTCTCTCTCTGACCCTCCCCTGCTCACGCTGTCACTCTCTCTCTTTCAGAAATAAAAACATTTTAAAAAGTTAAAAACAAAAAAACAAAAAAACCCTCCAAGATACTCTGAGTTATGAGGAACAAACAAGATGTCTACTCTCAACACTTCTACTCAACAGGTCCTAGAAGTTCCAGCCATGGTAACAGACAAGAAACGGACAGACATTGTATCCAGTTTGGAAAGGAAGAAAGTAAACTGTCTTTACTCACAGACAAGGAGGAAAATGCTCTGGGGCCTACAAGAGCCACCAGAACCAGTGAGTTGTTTCTAAGAACACAGGATAACAGTATGCAAAAATCAACTTTATTTCTATATATTAGCAACCAGAAATTGAAAAAACACTTACTGTTGACTTATTTTGAGAGAGAAGGCACGTACACAAAACGACATGCTTGAGCAGGGAAGGGGCAGAGAGAGGGAGAGAGGAAATCCCAATTCGAGCTTCAACCCACGAACCATGAGATCACAACCTGAACCTAAACGGAGAGTCGGCCACTTAGCAGATGCCACCCTGGTGCCCTGGAAGACTCTTTAAAGATTGTTCACAGTCACACAGAAACCACGAAGCACTCAGGAATTAACCTAACCCAAGACACACAAGACCTGCACCCTGAAAACTCACAACACTGGTGAGTGACGACCTGAAGCCAGGGTGAGCGACGCACTCGTGAATCAGAAGCTGACCCTGGCAAGGCGGCCATGCTTCCCAAACGGATCTGTGCACTCGGCAAAAATAAAAACTCCCAGCAGGCTTTTTCTAATTTTTTACCTTTAATCCCTTTTATTTTTTATTATTATTTTTAATTTTAGAGAGAGCACGAGTGGGGAAGAGGGCTGCGGGGGTCAGAGAGAAGACAGAGAGAGAGATAGAAAGATAGAGAGAAAGAGAGAATGGTAAGCAGACTCCATGCTCAGCACAGAGCCCAACGCGGTGCTCAGTCCCACTAGCCTGGGATCATGACCTGAGCCAAAACCACGAGTCAGACACCCAGTCAACTGAGCCACGCAGGCGGCCCTCCAGTAGGCGTGTGTCTGTGTGTGTGTGTGTGTGTGTGTGTGTGTATGAATGGACAAGCAGATCTCCAAATCCTCTACAGGAGCGCACAGGGTTTAGAGCGGCCACAGCAACCTGAAAAGGAGTGAGAAAACCCACATGGCTGAGCGGAAGTCTTCCCCGCGCTGCAGTGACCGACATGGCGAAGTGCCCAGGTCCAGACAGAGAACGGAGAGCACGGACAGACCCCCATGTGTACAGAGCAACGGACTTGAGACGAAGGTGCAAGTCCCTTCCAATACACACAGCCCGGTCACCTGGACGCCCACGTATAAAGCAGCACGAGCTCGAGTCCTCGCGCAGCAGCCAAATGCTCAAAGTGGGTCAAAAAATTAAATGCACAAGAGCACAACAAAGCTTCTAAACTGAGCAACTGTCCTTTTGTTAAATTAAGAATAGATCACAGATCAGGGGAAATATTTGCAAAGCACGGAATAAAAGACTTGGATCCAGAATACAGAGAGTTCTCGAACTCAGTACTAAGAAAGCAAAGAAAACCTGGAACAGAAGAGGTGAACAACTACGTCACTGATAAAAGACACACAAAAGGCAAACAAGTGCGTACACCACAAGCTGTTTGAGAAGTACACGGTAAAAGCCTTGGTGGACCACCAGGCACCGAATGACAAAAGTTACACCAAATGTCGCCAAGGCCATGGGACAACTGGAGCTCTCTGAGAACGCAAAACAAAATGTTCACCCTGGAAACCAGTTTGGCAGCTTCTTAAAGAGAGCACTGAGCCAGCACCCCTAGTAGCTAAAGAGAAATAAATGAATGTGCCCGTGCAGACTGGGACCCAAACATTCAGGATGTGCCCGTGCAGACTGGGACCCAAACATTCATTACAGCTTGATACAGAGTAACCAGAACCCAGAAACAGCCCCGACGTGTCTACAGGCGAACAGACCAACAGTTATGCAGTATGTGGACGATGAAACGCGTCCCCGCAATGGAAAGGCATCAGCCACCGACCTCCATGATGAAAGGCATGAACATAACATAAATTCAGACAAAAAGACAATATACTAGGGGACTCCATTTAAGGAAGATTCTAGAAAACACAAGTAATCTGTAGTGACAGCAAGTGGACAAGGGGTCCTTGAACATGAGGAGGGAGGAAGGGAAGGTTATAGAAGGACACATGGACACCCAGCGGGATGGACACTTTCACTGTCTTGATTACAGTGACACTGTACAGCTGTGTACACATGTCAAAACTTACCAACTGAGCACGCCAAATACATGCAGTTGTGGGCCAATTACACTTCATTAAAGCTGTTTAAGAAAAAACCCAGTGAGGGGGAAAGAGACGCTGTGTCGAGATGCACTCAAATCCTATTAATGGCGAAGACCACTTCTTGTCATCCTTACATGCGTCTTCCATCCCCGTAAGAGAAGTGGAAGGTCTAAGAGGAACCAGGAGATTTTGGGGAAAGAGCGGGAGCAAATGGTCTGGATTCTTACACAAATTTCCTGCAGACTCAGGAAAGAGAACGTGGCTACCCCCTCACAGTATGGACAATTCTGAGTTCTGAAAAGAAAACGTCTGCCACCACATAGTAACCCAAAGATCCTCACTGAGATTCATCACTCACTCAACATTAGTTTTGTTCTGAATTTGAGGCATTTCCAGCATCAAACTGCTCTCAACAGTCACCCCGCCGAGATAGTTAAAATCAATTCTTTCTATGAAATAAATTTAAAATAACCTTTCTAGAAGAGGGCCACCGTTCATAACCCACTGAAGAACAAAGTAACAATGAATGCAAGTTAAAGGTCAAAGGGCAGGTCACTGGCACCCATGCAGTGCAGATAAAAAAAGAAAACGATCACTTACACCATTCTCCTTCCTTCGATGCTCACCGGGAACTTTTACACCGTTTCTTCTTAAACTTGGATCCTGAGACCTGGGTCCACTCACTAAGCACAAAATAATAAAACCGGCATTAACACCAGAATGGACAGGTGCCCATGAGGGGTAGTTCATCTCGGAGTTGCCACTACTGCTCCTGGGTGTCCCAAGTAGAAAGGATGCCACAGACAAAACATCTCCCAGCATCTGCTCCCAGCCGCTGCTCCCAGCGCTCTAGTTAGCTACTCAGTCATGAGATCAACGACTTTCACTGAAAGAAATCAGTGAAACCCAACCCCGTGCTCATAGGCATGTTTATAACTTCCACCGAAAAGCAGCAACTGAAAACAGAGTAAGAGGCATCTTGAATGTGTTTGGTTTACTGAGGATACTTTACGGGAGGTCATAAGTACTTCCCCATTTGTTCCAGTAACAAACTTCCATTTCCTTAACCTGGAAAAGTACTAACTAGAAAACACTGTATATCCTGCTTTTTTGGCTAAAAAGAATTTTTCTGGAGCCTGGAACCTGCCTCAGATTCTGTGTTTCTCTCTGCCCCTCTCCTGCTATGCGCTCTCGCTCTCTCTCTCAAATAAATGAATATTTTAAAAAAATTTTTTTAAGAATTTCTCGGGGGTGCCTGGGTGGCTCAGTCAGTTAAGTGTCCAACTTCAGCTCAGGTCACGATCTCACGGTTTGTGGATTCAAGCCCTGTGTCAAGCTCTGTGCTAACAGCCAGCTCAGAGCCTGAAGCCTGCTTCAGATTCTGTGTCTCCCTCTCTCTCTGACCCTCCCCTGCTCAGTCACTCTCTCTCTCAGAAATAAACAAATTTTTTAAAAAATTAAAAAAAATTTTTTCAAGCCAAAATACATGGGTTTCTCAGTCCCAAGTACTGCATTATAAAAGAAAAATCGTCTTAATTTAAACTGATGACATTATATGAGGCACCTGGGTGATTCAGTTAAGCGTCTGACTTCAGGTCATGATCTCCTGGTTTGTGGGTTTGAGCCCAGCATCGGCCTCTGTGCTGACAGCTCGGAGCCTAGAGCCTGCTCGGATTCTGTGTCTCCTTCTCTCTCTACCCCTCCCCTGCTCATGCTCTGTCTCTCTCTCTCAAAATAAATAAACATAATTTTAAAAAATTTAGATTGATACGTTATAAGAAATTTGTAGCATCAACAGTTTTTTGAATATAGAAAATTAAGCTTCTATCTGTACTTCCCAGATATTAGGAAACACATGATCTCCCAAGAAATTTTAGATTAAAATTTCTTTTCAATTAAATGTCTATTATGCCCACTTGAAGCTCAGCACAGAGGCCCATGCCCGTAAGTAAATGTCTGTCCTCAGAGCCAGCTGTCATACGGACACCTAAGGTGAATGCACCAGCGGAATGAACCTCTGTTCAGCCGCTGACCACACGGCTCAGGTGATCTGTCACAAAACTGCTGCAGGAGAACAAATCCTCCACTGGAGAGTAATCGCCTTCTTCGCTGCCTCAGAGGGCCCGCAACCCATGTCTCGTTAGCATGTTGAGGACTCAGTCAGAGTCCAAGGCCAGCCCTGGGTCCGGCGGATGGGGAAGACACGGGGCACCTCCTCACCCAGGCGCCCGCCTCGTCCCAGTCCCAACGCTTTGAGGCGCCGGTGTTGGCGGCAATGTAAATGCAGCTCCTGGATCTTCGGACAGGGTCTCTCACCTTACAGACACACGGAGCCTGCCTACTGCACCCCTACTTAATAATTTACCCACGGCTCACCCAGGAGCCATGTGAACTGCTGGGTGAAAAGGTAAGATTCAACGTATCACAGGAGGGTGTGTGTGGTAACGTAAGCAAAGGACAAAGCAAACATGCGACTGCAGGTGCCAACTTACAGCCCCAAGAAAGGCGGCTCGAGAACAAAGCACGTGCAGGTTGAAAGGACACCTACAGAGGAACGGACAGCAGTGGCGCCGGCAGGCACGTGGGCAGCCTGGCCGAGGGGACTCGGCTGCACTCCCGGCTCGGCCCTGGGCGTGTGGCCTCCCTGCAGCGGGGAAGAGGTCACCCACGTCACGTGGCACACATAAGTATTTCTAATGGCTGGGCGCCACAAGGGCACGTGGACTAAGGCCGTAACCTTGAGATAGTAGTCACACGAGAGGAACACCTGTTGCCTGCATTCCTACCCCCAAGAGTAATGTCCTGAGGTCCCACACCCTCAAGTTCCCTTTTTTCTTTTTTTAATATTTTATTTATTTTTGAAAGCGAGATAGAGACAGCATGAGCAGGGGAGGGTCAGAGAGAGAGGGAGACACAGAATCTGAAGCAGGCTCCAGGCTCTGAACTAGCTGTCAGCACAGAGCCCGATGCGGGGCTCGAACCCACGAACCGTGAGATCATGACCTGAGCTGAAGTCGGACGCTTAACCGATTGAGCCACCCAGGTACCCCTCAAGTTCCCATTTTAAAGGTTCTCACACTTGTAGAAATACCTGGTACTCCCTTCCCTCCGGAACAGATGCCCCACAGATGAGCCTGGAAACGAGGCCTCCAGGGGCCCAGCTGTGGTCAGCCCAGTGTCCCTCCACCGGCGGGCTTCTCCCTCCTCAGCTCCCTGCACGCGCCGGTGAGAACCCTCACCCCCACAGGCGTGACCACCTGGCCCCCACACCCTCCCTCCTGCGTGGCCTCCGTCCACAGCCCGCCTCTCAGCCTCTAACCCCGGCTCACCTTCTTGCCCAAATCTCCTAGAAGTACTCTCCCTCTGGAATCTAAATTTAGACGGTCTGGTTTTGGACCCTAACTTCCGGTCACTACACCTGGCCAGGAACCCGGGGCCACAGTCTCCTCCCCGGCCTACGCTCTCCCTGCAGCTTCCCTCACCTTCCCACCAGCTCAGACACCGTCCATGTCCTCCTTTGCACCGGGCCGGCAAAACCCCAACCCTGGGGCAATCCAACCATCTTCTTCCAATGTCCAGCCCACCGCGCCCGGCAGGAGGGAAACCCATGGTGTGGGGTCCACAGTGTCCTGGGCCCCTGGCTGCCACTCTCCCGTTCCCCACAATGGCTCACACGGGCCTCTGCACCTACCACCTCAGAGAAGATGACCGGAGGCCCTTCCACCGGACGCCACAAAGCACACACAGCACCGCCACCCGCGTCTGTCTTCTCCCCCTCTGCGCCGGGAAGGAGGTCTCTCGGGCTGAGGGTGTAGCTCCCCAGGAACCCGCCAGCACACACCCCCTCCCCCAAATTACAACCTCCTGCTCTAGGGACTCCTTTCCACCCGGTTCTCCCTGCTTCCAACAACACAGATCAAAGCAAGCCACACCCTCTGCTCCCTTGGTGGTCAGGTCTCAGAAGCTGTCCGTCCTCAGGCCTCCACTCCCTGCCTCTCCTGCACCCTCAAGTCACCCGGCTCCCACCCCCACTCCCACCCCTCCCAGGCGAGCCAAGTCCACAGCCGTGCCCGGATTCACAAGACACTACCCACCTGTGTCCCTGCTGGGGGGGCGTTCGTGACGAAGGAAGAAACGAACTTCGTTCCTCTGACTTCCAAACCGCTGCAGAACATCAAACATCCGCTCGTTATTGGCCACTGGACGCTCTACAGGAAACAAACAGAAATCACGTAACCTATGGGCACAAGGAAGGGCATCTGCCATCCCTCCTTCTTGCACATTCTGCGTGTGCAAACACCAAGCGTCTTAGATACTTTTTCTCCCATTCAAAGAGCCCTTAGACAGGACGCCTGGGCGGGGGGGGGCGCTCAGTCAGTTAAACATCCAACTTCAGCTCAGTTCAGGATCTTGCAGTTTGGGAGTTAGAGCCCCGCGTCAGGCTCTGTGCTGACAGCTCAGAGCTGGAGCCTGCTTCGGATTCTGTGTCTCCCTCTCTCTCTCTCAAAATGAATAAACTTCAAAAAAAATTTTTTAAATAAAAGAACCCTCAGAATTACAGATCACAGATGCTCCACACAGTCAGCATCCACCTGGGAAGTGTGGGAAAGAGGAACAGTTCGGGGCCGGCCGCTGGGAGCGCGGTACTCTAGCCCAGTGCCTGATGGGCCACAGGCTTGCCAGTGACCTCAAGGGGTGTCAGAAGTCTGTCAGCTGTGACACAGGATGGCCTCTGAGGTCCCTTCTAACTCAAACGTTCTAGGGTTCTCCAAACATACAAACAAGGAATTAAAAGTAACAAGAAGTTAAAATAGTCTAGTTTTCCTATTAGGCTATTTTGAAGTTATAATTCTATAAACTACATTAGAAACATTAGACACACCCGTTTACAAACACAGGGCTGTTTACTGCACTGAAAATATAGCTGACCCTTGAGAAACACAAGTACGACCTGCCACATCCACTTATATGGGAAGTTTTTTGATAAACACAGGGCAGACCTCTAAATGGTCCTTATGATTTTTTTTTTTTTAATGTTTCTTTATTTTGAGAGAAAGTGTGAGCCAGGGAGGGCAGAGGGAGGGAGGGAATCCCAATCTGACGGTGCAGAACCTGATGCAGGGCTCGAACTCACGAACCTTGAGATGGTGACCTAACTGGAAATCAAGAGTTGAACGCTTAACCGACAGCCCCCCAGGCACCCCATGTTCCTTATGGTTTCCTTACTAGCATCTTCTCTCTAGCTTCCTTGACTAAAGAACGGTGTGTAACACACACGACATACACAACACGTGCTACTGGACAACAGAGCAGCACAGCTCCCAATCCACAGCAGGCTGTAAGCAGTTTGGGGGCAACTGGAAGTCATACGTGGATTTTCAACTGTGCGGGGGGGGTCAGTATCCCAACCCCCACATCGTTCAAGGTTCAACTGCATGTCTATTCAGCCTCTCTTCCAGTGTCACTGATAGTTGTCAAACTTTTCCAGAGACAAAAAGAGGGACACAGCTAAATAATAAATGGGAACTTCAGGAGAAACCATGTAGTTTAAACTCCTGTCAAAATATCTTGTAATCACAGGATCTGGATATAAAAACCAAACCTACTGTTTGACGGCACAACCGCTTACAATCGGAGAAGCTCCAGTGAGGTCAGCGTGATACTCAACGTACGAATGTTGAAACAGCCGGAGAAAACTCCGAATGCTTGCCAGTAACCAGGCCACTGGGCGGAGACCAGCAGCCCGAGCCGTCAGCCCCAGCAGAGCGCAGCTCCTTCCAGCTATGGTAACATAGCACGCGGGGTTCACAGACGTCCCACCCTCTTCCAGAAGCCACAGAAATTCTAAGACCTGCCCCCAAAAGGAAACAGCCCTGAAAGTAACACACCCCCAGAAGAACTAGTAGACCTTCGACGTCCTCACCCAGCACATACACACACGTGTGCACACAACACGCTTTCAGAAAAATGAAGGGAGACCCCCATACTCCAGAGCAAAGAGACAAGTTAAGGAAGTGAAGAACCGCCAGTCTCCGCAGGGGGCCGTCTCAGCAGGGCTGGAAGCCAGGGTCCCGCTGGCAGAGAGGGCTGCCATCAGGCACCGGCAGACCGCTGCCCGCACCCCTGCTCCAGCTGAGCAATGCCTGCCATGGATCCCAGGGAAGGTTCCAGGAGGACACGGAGGTTAGAAGGCTAACAAAGGGCAGAGACAAGGACTTGATACCTGAGACCTGGCCCCTAACAGCAGCACTGCACCAGCAGCCCTCAAACGGACTACGAATTCACCACAAGCAATCCAAATCCCAACAGGACTTTCCTGGAACCCTTTAAGGTCCTTCTACAATTTCATTGAAAAAGAAAATATGGAACAGCTCAGATACTCTTTGAAAAACTGGGGGCGCCTGGAGGACTCAGTCAGCTTTTGATTTCAGCTCAGGTCATAATCTCACAGTTCATGAGTTCGAGCCCCGTGACAGTGCAGAGCCTGCTTGGGATTCTGTCTCCCTCTCTCTCTCTCTGCCCCTCCCTCACACAGGCACATGTTCTCTCTCTCAAAAATAAACATTAAAAAAAAAACAAAAGCAGAACAATAAAACATGCACTTGGCTTACGGATCCCTAACACACACTACAACTACAGTCATTAGAACTCTTTGGTTCTGGCGTGACCAAAAGACACAGGCGATTGACCGAAGCTGGCAGAAGTGACCCTCGTAGGAGATCTACGACGGACACAGAGACAGCTCACATCGGGAAGGAAGAAAGCACCAATCAGCAGGCCACTCAGAGCAACTCACTCTCCATCTGGGAGACAAGAACCCGTGCCCAGACTCCCACGGGGCACACTGATGGGGGAGGGGCGGAAAATACTTTACATCCAGACTTGCAGAACATCGGGAGGAAGGAGCCTTCTAAGTCCCACATGAGCCTGGGCTCCGAGCACTGGTTTTTGGTTCTGTCTTTAATGCCCACAGATCAAGAGGCAAAAGCCAAGGAAAGCCTGAACAACAGCTACAGAGAAACAATCCTTTAAAAATGGAAAGGTGGCCGCCTGGGTGGCTCAGTCAGTTAAGCATCCGACTTCGGCTCAGGTCATGATCTCACAGATTGTGGGTTCGAGCCCCCGTCAGGCTCTGCTGACAGCTCAGAGCCTGGAGCCTGCTTCAGATTGTGTCTCCCTCTCTCTCTGACCCTCCCCTGCTCACACGCTCTTGCTCTCTCTCCCAGAAATAAATAAAACATTTTTTAAAAATTTAAAAAACAAAAAAATAATAAATAAGGAAAAGGGGGGGCGGGTGCCGGGAGGCTCAGTTGGGTGAACGTCTCGATTTCAGCTCATGTCATGACCTCTCAGTTCATGAGATCGAGCCCCGTGTCAGGCTCTACATTGACAGCGCAGAGCCTGCTTGGAATTGTCTCTCTGCCCCTCCCCCCTCAAAAAAAACAAACATTTAAAAAAAATTTTTTTTTTTTTTTATGTTTTATTTATTTCTAGGAGAGAGAGAGAGAAAAAGAAAGAAAAGGAGAGAAAAAGAGAGAGAGAGAAACAAAAACTGAAACAGGCTCCAGGCTCTGAGCTGGCAGTCAGCACAGAGCCTGACGCGGGGCTCAAACCCACGAAACGCGAGATCATGACCTAAGCGAAAGTCGGATGCTTAACCGACTAAGCTGCCCAGGCGCCCCTAAAAAAATTTTTTAATGGAAATCCAGGGCCACCTGCCTGGCTCAGGTAGAACATGCAGTCAACTCTTGAATCTGAGGATTGGGAATTCAAGTCCCATATTAGGTGTGGAGCCTACTTAAAATTTAAAAAATAAAAATAAAAACAGAAGGGGTGCTTGGGTAAGCATCCGACTTCGGCTAAAGTCATGGTCTCACAGTTCATGAGTTTGAGCCCTACGAAGGGCTCTGAGCTGCCAGCTGGGCACCTGGAGTCTGCTTCAGATTCTGTATCTCCCCCTCTCTCTGCCCTTCCCCTGCTTGTGCTCTGTCTCTCAAAGCATAAAACATTTAAAAAACTAATAAAAATAAATAAATAAAATGAGCAAGTACATGGAGTGATCAGGGGATGGGCATAAGGAGAGGATTCCACATCTGTATTATTTTCTCTTTTACAAGAAAGAACATTCAAGTGCTGTAATTTATTTAAAAAAAACTAGAAGAGGGGGCCCCTGGGTGGCTCAGTCAGTTGAGTATCTGACTCTTGATCTTGGCTCAGGTCATGAGCCCAGGGTCGCAGGATCGGGCCTGGCATCAAGCTCTGTACTGAGTGTGGAGCCTGCTTGGGTCTCTCTCTCTCTCCCCCTCTCTCTGCCCCTCCCCCACCTGAGCGTGCTCTTTGTCTCTCAAAATAAATAAACTTTAAAAAAAAGAAGAGGAGGGGCGCCTGGGTGGCTTAGTCGGTTAAGCATCCGACTTTCGCTTGGGTCATGATCTCGCGGTTCGTGGGCTCGAGCCCCACGTCAGGCTCTGTGCTGACTGCCGAGAGCCTGGAGCCTGTTTTGGATTCTGTGACTCCCTCTCTCTCTGACCCTCCCCTCCTCAAGCTGTCTCTCTGTCTCCTAGAAATAAATAAAACATTAAAAAAAAAAAAAAAAAAAAAAAGAAGAGGGGGCGCATGGGTGGCTCAGTTGATTACGCATCTGACTCTTGATTTTGGTTCAGGTCGTGATCTCAAGATAGGTGAATTCAAGCCCCAAGTCAGGCTCTGTGTCAATAGTATGGAGCCTGCTTGGGACTCCTCTTTCTGCCCCTCCCCCACCTGCTCTATCTTTCTCAAAATAAATTTTAAAAAACTAAAAACTAAGTTAAAAAGTTAGAAGAAAATCTTCTAAACATCACCATCACACAGTAAAGTGAACTCAAGTGAGCAAGGTACAAAAGGAGAAAGACAGGTGGGATCAAGAGTTCCCAGGGGACACTGAGCCTTGACAAAGAGAGGGGGACTCTTCCTCTAGGAAGAAGGGAAGAAAGGGCAGACGCGTCGGGAGAGGACACGAAGGGCGCACGGAAGAAGGCGCTGTGGGAACGTGCACCAGCTGCTTCGATCGCCTCAGGAAAGCATAAAGCAAGGTTGTTTCTGATGCCAGGAGGCTGCCAGACGCATCCAGCCACGCCCTGACTCCTTTGGGGTGCCTGCCGAGCGCCCCCACACCCCGGGCCCTCCCCTGAGCAGGCACACCAACGAACGAGACACGCCAAGCCCCTGCTCTCCGGGAGCAGGCGCTGTGGCACACGTGCATGGGGCCATGGGGATGAAAGAAGCAATAAGCGTGCACTCTCAGAACCAGAGGGTCAGGTCAGGGGGACATCACAGCCACTTCAGCAGGACGCTCCATGAAGAGTCTCTCCCATTTCAGCAAAACCTGCCTGGAAGGAGAGCAACCCAGTGGAAGGGGGGGGAAGAGCACCCGCAGCCCCAAGGAGGGACGGAGCGGAGTTTGTTCAGAAAATGGGAGAGCTGCACGACGACAGGGAAAAGATGGCACCCAATGGCCACGGGCCACGATCAGAGGCCTGGATTTGATTCTAAGTTGAAAGCAAGCCCCTGACGAGTGGACAGGCAGGGTGTCGTCTGGTCCCTCTACGTGAATGGTCTACCCACCTGCTCTGTGGGGGCAAAGGAGGAAGTGGATCAGAAAGGGGGCACAAGACCTCAAGGACACCCACCCTTAAGCAGGTCAACCAGAGGTAACCAGGAGGTGCTGCCTGGGCCATGGGGGGCGGGGGGGCGGGAGGCAGTGTGCGGCTGGCGCCAGGACACGGGGCAACCCCGGGGGAGGGGAGGGGCAGGGGGAGCTCACCCTGGCCGTGCAGGAACGAGGCAGAAACTATGGAAAATCACTCCGACTACAAACTCGTCAGGGCCAGAAGGAGAGCAGGCTGCCCCACATCAGGGATCCACAGAGCCACAGCTAGGGACCGACTGCAAAGCTTAAAATCACGCCTATGACTTCCCGCGCCTCCTGCCACCACGGTGACACCAGGCCAGCCAACATCGCTGAACACCTACAAATGCGTGGAGAGGGCACCACACTCTGAGCCTCAAATCTCTAACTCGGTCAACTCCAAGCACACAGAAAGCACTTCATGAGCACCACGCAGTTTACCGTCACGGCCAGGAGCTTCAGCTGGTGTGTCACCTGCCTGTCCTTTGCCCTCATACACTGTGGAGTCTTCAGCGTATTGCATGAATAAGAGCAGGAAAAGAGCAGAAAGGCTTTCTGTGTCACAACAAAGCTGGACAGAGAGCGCGCGCCCCCTCAAGGCACACGTGCCACCACGTCTAAAATCCAGGGACCACATGATGCGGCCCAAGGGGCGCGCAGGGTGTCGGCCTCGTACCAGAGCCGCAGCGCACTTCGGCCAGATGGCACTCGCTCTCGCCAGGTTCTTTGCACAGGTCCACCACATCTCTGCACGTGGTCTCGGGGGTCACAGGGACCTCAGTGAAGTGCTGCTCATTGTCGCTGAGGAACACGGTGAGGAACATCTGCCAACAAAGAGAGAAAGCAGCTGTCAGCGTCAATTCCTATCCCCACACCCGGTCCCCCAGCCCCCCACACTCAGCCTGCGGAGCCCCTGGGGTCCCTGGCGATGGTCAAACCAGCTCACACAAAAGGCCAAACTAAGTCTTTCTCTGACACCGTGTTTGTCATCTGTTTCCCAAATACTTATACAGTTCGCAGTATGTGCCCGACCCGTCGAGAAACAGACCTGCCCACTGCTCCCAAGGCCAGCCAGGGCCACCACACATGCGCAGGCTCTTTGGATGGAGAGCTACAGACGTGACACGTGCTGCTCTGACAGTGGGGAAGGAAAGCAGGAGAAAGAACACGAGGGAAATCTAATATTTACATCACACACATGAATCATCCACTCAAACAATCATATTTTTAAAGCGAAGATGTTTTAATCAAATCGAATGCCTACACTACAGCCTGAGGTCTCCATCGACAAAGTATGAGCAGATCGACTGTTAGGGTAAAACTCAGCTGACCTTGTACACTGAGTAAACACTTGGGCAGCAGAGGCTGGACTCTAACCCTCGGTAGTAGCGGTACCCCTGGGGAAAGGAGATGCTGTATCATAACACTGACAGCAAAGAGTGCAAATTTGCACACTCATTCAATGCCCCACCAGCACTGAGGAAACTGACAGCCAACGGCACGCAGGCAGGTGACTCTGGCGCCCTTAGCTCCGGGGTGCCTACTCCAAGCCAATCAACAGGCGTCAGGATAAAAGAAAAACCTCAAAGTGGCCCAACTGTGGGCATCTGTCCTGTGAAAATACCTCTCACCCAAAAAAGACGGCAATGTGCCATCAACTCTGCGGGCCAGCACGCCTTCCATGCAAATACTTAACCCCACTAAGCACTGCAGGAAGTCCGGATCGTGAGGCCACCCAGCAGCAGGAGCAGGACATGCACCCCGTGCACGAGGACACACGGGGTCACGCGGCAGTCCCCCACAGCACACGGCTCCTCCCAGGCCCGGATGCGACAGTCGCAGGAGACGTTCCTCTGCAAGGAGGCAGCTGCTGCTCTGGGGCAGCAGGGATGCCGCAGGCCTGGGTCAGGAAAGGGGACCCGTACAGGAGGGCCCACCCCCGGGTGCCTTGCAGCTCTGCAGCCCCCCCATCCCCCGCCCTCTGCAGGGCAGAGTCCTCCCTTTGGGCAGCCCAAGCTCTCAACTCACAGGAGCGCGGGCAGTGTGCGGAGTAACTGGAAAACCGAATGCATGGCAGGTGACCCAGAAACGTCAGGCCAGGGGACACGGTGACACAATATACAGAATGCCCTCTCCCAGGATGAGCCGAGAGGCTTCCAAGCAAACTCTCTTCTGTTTTCACGTCCTTGAGCTCTAATACAGACACAGGTCCAGACCTCACCTGGCCACGAGAGCCCGCGCCACGCTGCCTTGAGAGTCACCGGGAGAGAGGACAGAGTAACCAAGTGCCACCCGGCAGTGCTCTCCGTGCCAACACCCTGAACCCGAGCACTCTGAAAAAGGAATGTTCGGGCCGTCAACGACGCACTTAAAGGCCTTCATTAAATTGCAGGAATATTTAGTGCGTGGGGGCTGTGGCAGGGTCACGGCGCCTCACCTGGCCCACGTCCCCCCGCGGGACCTCAGGAATCTCACATTGACCCCGACATGTGGAGGAAGTACTGTTTCCTTTTTATAAACAAAGAGGACGACTCCCGGAAGGGACCTGCTGAGCCACTAAAATGACGGAGTCAATTCTGCTCTTCCGACCTGGTCTCTACCCTTCGGGCTGCGGCTTACGGCATGAACACACTGGGAAAAGTGGGAAGTGTTCTATTTCACCACAGTCACCCAAACTTTCTATCTGGAAAACAGCTTCGTTCACTTAAATGCAGAATTACAAGTAAGAATGACGAAAGATGTGCTCTGTTGAAGGTCACCTCCCCCCAAATCGCCAAGGCCCTGGTGCAAGTGCAGGAGCTGATGTCACGTCTGCCTTCCGTGAGTGAAGAGGAGCTCTGGGGGGGGCCAGACTGCAGGAAGTGTCCTAAAGTCCTGGGCCGAGAGCGGTGACACTGCTCCAGACTCCAGGGCAGACTCTACCCCCAGCTTCGTTAATAATTAGTTCGACCGCCTTAGGGAAATTGTGTCACTGAATCCCAGTCCCCCCTTCAAAGTAGGAGTCTTTGGCACCCAGAACTGCCTGGGACCACTTTCTACAGCAGCCCGCAAGCTGTAGCTAGCAGTCTGGGCACCAAGCGAGGGTCTGAAGGAAGGCAGTGCAGAAAGGAGAGATTCTGGAGAGAGGATCAGATGTGGTGACAAACGGCGGGGGCGGGGGGGGGGGAGGTAGTGCTATGTGTGAACTGAATGACTCTGTGGATATAGCATAAAGCCAAGAGGAAGCAGTAGGGGCTTTGTGTCTGTGGCTGCGTCGGGTGGGAAGTTTGTGTGGATCAGAGGACTGGTGACCTGCGCACACCAGCCCCCTCCCAACCGCCCCATCTCCACAACCCTCCCATGCAGCACGCACGCGCGCCCCTCGGAGCCTGTGCACTTGCCTTTCCGTCTGCAGCCTGCCAAGCTGCACCCTGGTCCCGTCAGGTCTGCACTCCAATACTGCCTTCCCAGTGAGGCTTCCCTGGACACTCTTCCAGAAACCCCAACGCCGCCCATACACAGCCACACACTCCCTGCTCTCTGCCCTCCTTGGCACAGTCGCTAATGTACCACACGTTATATTTACTTAACCTGGTTTTCTCTCCATCTTCCCTTCTAGAAGGTCAGCACCACACGGGCCAGCGTTCTGACTGTCATGTCGATGCTGTGTCCTCAGCACCGGCAGAGAGCCTGGGGTGCAGCAAGCATGAGGTGTCGCGTAATGAAGGACAAGTCCTGGAGCTGGTCCTGCATCTCACAGACCCACCTCGGATCTACTTTCATAGTAAGTTTTCATCCGTGCGCAGAGAAGTGTGGTCGGGTGTGCGGCACAGCCTGGCACGCTGACAGAGACGAGGGAGCATCTGCCATCACCTCTGCAGCACACACCACACCGGCCAGCCTACATCTGCTTCAACACCCTTCCCTTCTTTCAGTACTTACAGGCTGTCGAGTGCACGGACTAAGTCCTCAGGTGGAAATCACCTTTAATAAACAACAAATACAGCACCCAGCACAAAGTTCAAAATGAAGGGGAACGTGCGGGAAGGGACCCCACCTCTGGGAGCACAAGGCAAGGAGGAGGGTGTAGAGTGAGTGACCCTAGAGGGGGAGAAGAGGTGCTCAGGACCACGGCCCTCCTGTCCACATGCAGCATCTGTGCGGTCCTAGAGGCCCTGAGCAGCCGTCTAAGAGAGGGGCAGGAGGGCCTGGAGGGGGCACTGGCGTGTCACACCAGGGGAAGAGCAGGGGGAGCAGAGAGAGAGCAAGGGGAAAGGATCAGAGGACCGATGAGGCCACCAGTCCGCACACGGGGGCGGAGATGGGGGGCTTCCACCACCGGCTGCGGGCTGCACCCCCAGGGCCCGAGTGGACCAGGGAAGAGGGCCCTGGTCTGCACCTCTAACAAATGCCCACGTGACTGGAAACCACCACTCAAAGACCAGAGGGAGGAATGTGGACTCCAGTGGAAGAGCCCACAGAGGCAGAGGCATGGCAGTGGCCAGGGTTGGGGAGAGGGACTGCTGACAGCGACAGGGCCTCTTTGGGGAGACGACAACGCTCTGGAATTAGTATGATGCTGCACGACCCGGTGGAAAGTCTAAAAACCCCTGTGGTGCATACTCAGTGCTGGTATGTGAATCATATCTCAAATTCTTTTTTTAAAAAAGAGGTCACCGGAGGATTCCAAACAGGGAAGTGAAGTGACGTCGCTTAAATCACTCTGGTTACAAAGTGAACAGACACAGGGGACACGCGGCACCTGCGACGGAGGGTGGCCTGGGTGGCACGGTAGTGAAACGGCTGGATGTGGACCGATCTGAAGGCTGGGCCACGAGACATGCTCGAGGGACAGGAAGCAGATGTGAGCACAGAGAAGGGGAGCGTGAGCCTGGACACGCGGTCTCAGGACCCGGGAGAGCTTGGCAAGGGGGAGGAGTGCCCATGGACGGGACAGAGCCTCGGGGTCAAAGGGGAGCCACCTACCAGCCCCAGGAATGGGCAGAGGAGGCTGCACCACACACACGCAGGCACATACATGTCCAACCAACTGCGAGGGGTGGGGGAGGAGGGAGACGACAGGGTGACAGGAGCAGACAGGCCTTGGGGCCTAAGGCAGGACACAGGGACCGAAAGAGAGCAGAGGGCTGTGCCTGGAGCCGGCAGTATGACGTGCAGAGGCCCTAGAGGCAAGCGTCCCACCAAGGACTGAGGCACCATCAATGAAGAAACAGAAACTACTCCAAGGAGTGTGAAGCCCGGAACCAAGTCGAGAGAGTGTTTCAAACGAAGCCCCACGAGCTCAGTGCCAAGAACCAACTCTCCAGCCCCCACGTGGCAGGTCGGAGCTTCCAGCAGGACAAGCAGGGAGGGACCAGACCAGAGGCCCAGGACGGAGGACACAGCACAGCACAGCAAGGCCTCTGGAGGCGACCTGGGTTTATTCGGAGGCCTGTGTAGACAATCATCCGATATCAAGAGGGAGTTCACTGGCCAAGCACGTTTGGGCAAACACACTGTCCAAGGCCCTCAGTTCTGCATCCTGACTTAGGGCCACGAAGCCTGGACACGGGTACCTTAGTCCACTTGCCCTGGTTCTTACAGAAGAGATCCGTATTAAATCTTAGTGTCCCGTGAATGGGCCATTTTCCCTCATCTCCTAAGGAATACTGAGGCCTGCATTACAAAAGATCAGTTTTGTTTTGTTTTGAGATCTTGTGATCTGAATGGATTCCAGGAGGTTAAAAGGCACCTCAAGGGAGAGTCCTTGGGGACTGAAGACGACCAACCGCGTGTCCTCAGTCTCAGAGGGCGTAATCACTTTCCTCCAGTGTCCCAGAACACA